ATTGATACAGGCGTCCGCTCTCTTGTTTCTTCCTACTTTTATTTAAGTTTATTTTGTACATTATTTATTTAATAGAAATGAAAAATGGTGAAGTGAGTGTGTTGTTCAGTCTTATTAAAAAGAGTTCCTCCTCACAGTAAGTAGTTTTCAACGATCCGGATTTCGAGACTACAGCTCATCGTCAGATTGTAGAGCTCCTTCAACCTGATGATGAGCTGTAGGCTCGAAATCCGGATCATTGAAAACAACTTACTGTGAGTATAAATTGTCTTTTTAAAAAGATTAATTAATTTAGTTTAGTTTTGCAATTCAACACCATCTTTGAGCTAATGATATTTGAGCTTAGTGATGGCTGTCTGACTATCTGAAATGATAATTATATTTGGCGTATAGGAACTATATTTTTGATTTACCAATTGAGGTTGGTTTTTTGCTAAGTTTTGATACTCTCGGCCAATTTCGATGCAGTAGGCAAACAGGAGAAATAATGACTCTACCATTGGTTGTTGGGTGTAAATTTGGTTTTGGCAGGCACATTAACCACTGGCCTGTCTGACGTCCATTCTCATACACAATCCATTTTCATCGCAAGCTTTATTTCTTTTAAGAAGAGTTTCCGTTTCTTTGCCTAACAAGCAACAAAACGTCGTATGGCCTTCAAAGTTCAAACTGCCCATAGATGTAGATATAATATTTGTGGAATATAACTACGGCCTTTGAAGGCTGTCGTATCCCCGTTCTGTCATTACGACCGTCGAGTCGTTCATCAAGAAATTTGATTAGTAGGCCCGGTTTTGATTGGTTCTACTGTTACGTTGTACACCACAGCGCCATAGTTTGTTAGTTGATGCGTTGATGTCTCTCCTACAAATTCTACACCGTGTTGGATTGTACCAACCTTCTTCAAATGACCAATAAGCAGTGTACTTTTAAGATTCCTGTTAGAATTAGATGTCTTTTCCTGCTTCCTTGGATGCATTTTGTTGCTTCTTTCCTTCCGAATTTCGCTAGAATCTTCTTAGGTTGTTTCTGAGCGTGTGTGAATTAAACTGTTTTCTCATTTTCATCTTTTGTCTAAAATTGGTTGATAATGTGAATCCCTATGCCGTAGAAGCATTTGTAGCAAGGGCATCGGCTTCCTCGTTCCCCCATATTCCTGCATGTCCTTGGAACCAGTAGAGTGTAACCTTATTTTGCGTACCTATCCCGATATGACAGTCCTTGTTTTGGTATCTATTAAAATTAAACTAAGTACATCTCTCAATCGCGTGGATCATTTTTAAAGATAGTGGAGTATTTTCTCATGGGCTTCAAGTATTTGTATCCGGGGTCCTGAACGGCGTGACAGTCCCATGCTACCCAACAGCACCCCGCTGCTGACTTCGAAAGTGACAATTCCTTCTAACGTTCTAGATCCACCAATGATACTGCATTTGGTGCTTTTTTTGGTACCCAGGTTTATCTGGAAGTTTTTTTTTAACTTCCTAAATTCAAACACCCTGTTCATGCCTAGGGGTCATGATTATTGAACTCATTAAGCTCTCTCCATTTAAGTTTTGGACTTTTGGAGGATATTCTTTGGTTGTGTTAATAATATTTTTTGTTTGAGGGTGATTCGTTTTAATTTTTCTCAAACCGGCTATGGGACATTGTCTCAACCAGTATTAAAAAAAATCCATGTTTGGTGAGTTTCTTTTTGCTTTATTTGTTTGATTTTATCGACTAGGTAATCGCACCGTTTGATTTGTAGAGTGTTTATTACAGTCATAGCTGATTTATGGTCTTTGCAGACTTCTTAGTTATCCAAATCTTTTGTTCAATTCTGTCGTTTCAGTCTAATTAAAAGTAAAAATGATAAAAATAGTGTGAAAGAGAGAGAATCGTGTTACTAATTGGGTCCGTTTTCACTCGCGAGTTCGTTGAATTACTCAAGGCGTTTCGTCACCGTGCCATCGTCAGTGAGGAACCGAAGACCCAAAAGTAACCCGGTGCCGGTTCAGCATGAATATGTATGAATCTGTTTCTGCTAAAGCCGAACAACTAAATAAGTTATCCACGTTCTTTTCAATATAAATGCATCTTAAATGAAATTTAAAAACGCTTAAATTGTAAAGAATAAAATTGTTCGTGGTTGTGACAGTGAAAATATTTATTTGGCGAGGATGTCGATAAATTAATGCACGTGCTTTTGTGAAGTATAGACTGTGTTGAGGACTTAATAAATAAACATTTTTAAATTCTTTGACCTACTTATTTTAAATGCAAAACAATACCAGGGCAATTAAGTTTTATTAAATTATAAGGTGTTTTTTCTTTTTTGTCAATATTAACTACTCCGCCGGACCCAGTGATTTGTCTAGGACAGACAGATTGCATAAGGCCGAAACGCTTGTTATATACCAAGGTCGAACAGCGAGAATTTACGGATCCATCTGTCGACATCTACACAAAATATTGATCCATCGGGGATTTTCATTTAACCATTGGTCATTAAGGAGTTAACAATTTTAACTTAACAGTTAATTAGTATTGTATTAAAAATTAAGAGATTTTAAGCAGAAAATTGTACGAAGATGAAGGAAAATCTAGGATATTGGTGGATTCTGAAGATATTCGCGCTGTATTGGTTTTCATAACTTTTAAGACTACCTTTTTACATGTCTGTTTAAAAATTGCATATATTATTAGCGCCTTGAATTTATTATTGACAGAATTTTTTTCACGTGTCTTGCTGATCTTTTACGATCAATAAAATTCCACAGCTTTTTTGTTTACATCCTTATGATAAAAACAGTTTAAAAGATTGAACCGTCAATTAAGATCCTTGTAGAGATTCTTAACACGACAATTATTTGCAAAATTAGAATCACAGTGATATCAGTGTGGATAGTTATCTCGACGCGAAAACGGACAGTCACGATAAAATATTTATTTAACAAACAATTTTATCTTCGTCGGTGTAAACATTATGCGCGTGTTTTATTAGTTGTTTACTTGTTGTTAGTAGTTCTGCCGAATTTACTTAACTGTGTCGTTAAATCGGTAGCATACTTCGACGGATGTGTAATTGTCTGGTAACTAAAAAGAAAAAAAAAAGAACATTTCCAACTAACTTATTCGTAGATAAATATAATTGTATTATATTACACTCGTTTGGTTTAGAACATCTATAAACTTTGCCTTGTTCAGCTTACAATTGGAGTTGTAAAATTTTGCCAGATTCACTAGTTTCGTGGTCCGCTTGACCAATTAATATATTTCAATTCATTAAGGTTTTTTAGGTTAATCTCCGGCTAAATACGCCGCTGCTCTTCCACTTGAGCTATCGTGACTCGATCCACTCGGAAGCCGAAGATCGTGGGTTCGAATCCCGCTCGTGACACTGACTATTTTATCTCAACTAAAAATTTTAATTAATTGAAATTTTGCCAGATCTTTGAAATTTACTTGGGAGTAAATCTACTGAACGCTGGGACAAAAAAATTGTTTTCAAGTTTAGAAGTATCTACCACCTTTTTGCTCATGAACCCTCTGGCTGTGGTCTTGAAGAAAAAAACAAACAATTTCAGTTATTACTGCCAAGCTTTCGTCCTATTTTAAGGTCATCACCAGGGCTAAACAATTTTAACTATGTCTACGGATTGACATATTTAAGTTTTTTTAGTAAATCTACTGAACGTTGGGACAAAAAAATTATGTTTTCAAGTTTAGAAGTATCTACTACCTTTTTGCTCATGAAGACTCTGGATGTGGTCTTGAAGAAAAAAAAACAATTTCAGTTATTACTGCCAAGCTTTTGTCCTATTTTAAGGTCATCACCAGAGCTAAGCAATTTTAACTATATCTACGGATTGACATATTTAAGGTTTTTTAGTAAATCTACTGAACGCTGGGACAAAAAAATTATGTTTTCAATTTTAGAAGTATCTACCACCTTTTCGCTCACGAACCTTACTAGATGTGGTCTTGAAGAAAAAAATACAAACAATTTTAGTTATTACTGCCAAGCTTTCGGCCTATTTTAAGGTTATCACCAGGGCTAAGCAATTTTAACTATGTCTACGAATTGACATATTTAAAATTTTTACAAGTTAATTTAGGTAATTTTTTTTTAAATTTTCTTGAAGACCGACTCAACCCTAACACTGTCCAGGATTGTGAACTGGGACAGTCCTTGACAATGTTAGAACTGAGTCACTCTTCAAGAAAATTTTAGCCTGTAAAAAACTTAAATAGCCAGTCTGTAGACATATTTAATATTGTTTTGCGCTCATGATGACCTTAAAATTGGTCAAAAGCTTGGCAGTAACAACTGAATTAGCTTTTTTCTTCAAATACCATACACACCTTTATCCAGAGTGTCCGTGGACAAAAAAATTATAAAAAATTTATATGTGTGTGGTAATATTATCCAAATTATAATAATAACAGGCGTATATTTAACATAACCATAAAATAAACATATTCACAATCAATTAAACATATTGGTACTTAACGATATGAGTAATAATAATCTTAAAACTAGCTTTACCACAAGCGATAAACAAAATTAATATAAAAAAGACATACAGCAATACTCCTGGTCATCTGGACCGTCGGAGGGGTTACCTTGCTTGATAATAATTCAAGAAAACAAAGTACATCTACAATAATAACAAAACCATAAAATAATCCATACCAAATTAGAGAAAAGAAAAAAGAAAAATACAAATAAATAAGAATAATTCTAATAGTTAAAGTGCATCAAAGTATAACCAGTAAGTATCTGCATAGCCATGCTTTCTTACAGTATTTTACCAGCTCCTGCCAACCTGATCCATTTAAAATCTGTATCAGCTCCTCCAGATTTATGGTCCTTTTTGTTTGGTTAACAGATAAATCACTAAAAAAAATTAAATAGTCCATTTGTCTTCATTCTTTTGGTCAGTCCATGCAGCCTGCTATATAGCACTGCTGACCTCATGAAGACATATCATATTTAAATACTTGTTTTGTTTTAGAAACCATGGGTGATGCAACAGAAATGTTGAAGGAAGTGGGAGTTGAAAGTGAAGAGCCTCTGTTCGGGACTCTGGACATTGCTCTGTTCCTCGCCCTGGCTGGAGTCGGCTTTTGGTGGCTGATGAAAGACAGGCAGAGCAAATCGTCCCTCAAAGATAAATCATATACAATACAGTAAGCTTTTATTTCCGTGGCAAAAGTGAATTTTCTTTAATGGGTCAATTTTTAACAGGCCTATGGCAATGAGCTCTATGCCGCAGAATACGGACAACTCTTTTATCAAGAAATTGAAAGCGAGTGGAAGGAGTCTAATAGTATTTTATGGAAGCCAAACAGGCACTGGTGAAGAATTTGCAGGTCGTATCGCCAAAGAGGGCATTAGGTATAAGATGAAAGGAATGGTCGCAGATCCTGAAGAATACGATATGGTAAACCATAAATAACAGCTTATAAATAAATTTATATGGTAAGAATATTTATGAATAATAAGTAACTCTGCTATTTTTGTAGGAAGATCTCATGCAGATGAAAAACATTCCAAATTCAATGGCTGTATTCTGCCTCGCTACATATGGAGAAGGTGACCCTACAGATAATGCGATGGATTTCTACGAGTGGCTGCAAAATGGAGAAGGCGACCTGACCGGCTTAAATTATGCAGTGAGTTTTAAAAAGTTAACGCTTTATTCAAATTTTTCTCAATGGTTTTATGCACAGGTTTTCGGGCTTGGGAACAAGACGTATGAGCATTACAATGAAGTCGCAATTTATGTAGACAAGCGACTTCAAGAGCTTGGAGGGACTCGAGTCTACCAGCTCGGCCTCGGCGATGATGATGCAAAGTCTGTGTTGCTTTATCACATCACAACTCTTTAAACATTGAATAGATTAGTATATTCTTGTACTATTGTTAACAGCATTGAAGATGACTTCATCACTTGGAAGGACAAATTCTGGCCCACAGTCTGCGAGTATTTCGGTATCGAGGGGGCCGGTGAAGATGTGTCCGTACGACAGTACAAACTGACCGAACACATCGACAACATACCAGAGAGGGTTTATACTGGCGAAGTGGCAAGACTCCATTCCCTAATAAACCAAAGACCGTAAGTCAAACTTTTGTATCATTACCTCAATTGTAATTGACATTGAAAAAAGAATTATTTTCAAAGTTCAAGGATGTGAACTTTTCCGAAGCATTGTAAACTATTTTTATTCATATTCCTCTAAATGGGATCGGTTACTTCCATCCCTTTGAGAATTTACACTTTTCCACCTGTTAAGTCTGCGCACTCCCTCCTGGTCTCCTACGGTTCCTTGCCTTGTACATACCTGGCTGACGTGTTAGCCGGTTAGGGGGAAAAATAGAAAATTTATTTAAAAAAGAGAAGTTGTACAGTCAAGAGTAATAAAAAAAACCAAATAAAAATAGCCTAGCATTGAAATTAACATAGTATTATTTTGGATGCGATTTTTATAAATAGAATTTCTATTTTTCTTTTTATGTTTGTCAAAAACTAATTTGCGTCTGTTTTATTTAAGGCCTTTTGATGTCAAGAATCCATATTTAGCTCCAGTCAAAGTCAATCGTGAGCTTCACAAAGGTGGGGATAGATCTTGTATGCACATCGAGTTTGATATTGAAGGATCTAAAATGAGATATGACACAGGTAACACTCATTTCTTTTTATAATGTTTCGTTTATTTATTTTTTATAATGATTATATTTAATTATTTACAGGTGATCATTTGGCTGTTTACCCCATGAACAATCTTGATCTTGTCGACAAGCTTGGAAAGCTTTTAAATGTGAATCTGGATACAATCTTCACGCTGACCAACACAGACGGTAATTATTTTCTCCGAGTGTCGCATTATTTTGACTAATAGACGGAAATTTTAGAGGACTCGAGCAAGAAGCACCCTTTCCCATGTCCTTGCTCATACAAGACCGCTTTGACTTATTATATCGATATCACGTCCAACCCTCGCACGCATATCCTCAAAGAGCTCGCCGAATACGCTTCTGATCCAAAAGAGGCTGAAAAGCTCAAATTGATGGCGAGCACGTCAATCGAAGGAAAGCAGATGTACAACCAATGGATCAACCAGGACAACCGTAATATCGTGCATATTCTAGAGGATATGCCATCTGTAAAGCCTAAACTCGACCATATCTGCGAATTATTACCAAGACTTCAATGCCGCTACTACTCAATTTCATCATCTTCTAAAGTACTATTTTACTATGAGAGATTTTAATTTTTTTTTTTTAATTTCCATATTTAAGATTACTTACATTTATTGTAACTTTATTGATTAGGTATATCCAACGTGTGTACATATTACGGCAGTTAAAGTTGAGTACGATACGCCGACTGGGCGAAGAAATGAAGGCGTAGCGACAAGTTGGTTGGGCAAAAAGATTCCAAACGACTCCAACTCGCTTCCTCTTGTTCCTATATTTATTAGGAAATCCCAGTTTAAGTAAGTTTCTTCAAGTAAAACTTTCGAAATATGTATTTATAACTAATTCAATCTTTCATAGACTCCCGACGAGAACAAATACACCTATCATCATGATAGGACCGGGCACAGGTCTGGCACCTTTCCGTGGTTTTATCCAAGAGAGAGCTTTAGCAAAACAAGAAGGTAAAGGCAATAATTAACACAAAAAAAAAACAAAAAAAACAAAAAAACGAGAAATAACTATCTAACTGTTGATTTTTTAGGAAAACCTGTTGGAGACACAATCCTATATTTTGGATGTAGAAAAAAAGCTGAAGACTTCATATATCAGGAGGAACTCGAAGCGTTTGTTGAAAATGGAAATCTAAAAGTAAGCAGTGACAACTATGATTATTTCAGTTGAATTTGTGCTTGCTCTGTGGGACCGGGAGTGCCACAGGGCATTGTGCTCGGGCCAATTCTGTACCTTCTCTACACCTTAAACATCCCGACTAAACCGTGTATCCTGAAAGGTCCAGAACGTCCGCGCCAGTGTTCAGTCTGCTTCCCTTCTATTTCTGTTTCTTATAATTCACGATGCCCATTGTTTAATTAAACTTTTAAATAAAACTCATTTACTCATTGTTGACTCCTGTCAAGACATTTATTTAAATATTACAACCGAGTGAAACAGACACATTAAAAATCAGGATTTCAACAGTCAAAAATGATTTCTTTTGCCATTAGAATATTGTTCATGATATTAAAAGAAAATTAACTCTGGAAATGGCTTGATCTGATAATCTTATACAAAGTACATCTCAATAAACACTATTGTTTTGATTTAGCTGCGACAGAATTACAGACACACATTTTGTTTGCGTTTATTTTATAACTACAAAGGTTTATTCAATATTCACTGTACCGTGCCTTAGTAAAGTGATTACTGTGAGTTCATTTGGAGCAATTCAAAGTTATTTTAAAATGTCCAAAGGAAGATTTTCTGATGAGGAGCGCCAGTTGATTCACTTGCTCAATGAAGATGGAATGAGCTGCCGAGATATCGCCCGACACATAAAACAAAGTTTTTCATCGGTATCGAAGATAATATGACTAGGTGAAGACTATGGAAGAGGGCATAGCTCTGGAAGACCTCCTTCCTTGACCAGAAGAGACAAATCACACATCCTGTGCGTTGCTTCAAACAGCTTTTCAACTGCAAAAGCCATCGCAGAGAAGGCGGGTGTTGATGTTTCTGTTAGAACTGTTCAGAGATTCCTTAAAAAAACTGAAGATATAGTCTGAAGAAAACTGAAACGCAAACAAGCTCTGAAACCCCACTACAAACTAGCCCATGTCAAATTTGCTGAAAACCACATTTTGACAAATGAAGATTATTGGCGAAAAGTTATTTTTTCTGACAAAAAAAATTCAATTTGGACAGCCCGGACAGATACGCATACTACTTTCATGATCTAACTAAAGAAGAAAAAATTTTGTCACGGCGCCAAATGGGTGGTGGATCTTTGATGATTTGGCGGTGTATTGGGTGTAATAAAAAAGGGAATCTTTGTTTTCTTCCAAAAAAAAGTCAATTCGGATTATTACAAGAAATTACAGGACAAAGAAAAAACTAGTTTCAGCGATTTATGAGAAGGGACTCCAATATTTCAGCAGGACAACACACCCATACACAATGCAAAAATTGTTAAAGAATGGTTTTCACAGAACAGCATTGAAAAACTTGAATGGCCTGCATTCTCACCAGACTTGAACATATAGAAAATTACAAGTAATTAATTTTTTTAGTTGAGATAAAAAAGACAATGGCATGAGCGGGATTCGAACCCATGATCTTCGGCTAGATACTATCTTTATCTCAACTAAAAACCTTAATTAATTGAAAGATATTAATTGGTCAAGCAGACCACGAAAAGTAGTGAATTTAATAAATTAAAATGAAGTATATCTTCATTAAAGCTCTCTGTGGCCATTTCATTTGTCGCCGAGAATCAAATAGATTACACGATATTTCAAAAATGGCAAAAAGGAGGGAAAATTCAAAAGGTGGGGTTGAGATGGGAAGTTAGTGCCCGAGTGGATCGAGATCACGATAGGTCAAGTGGTAGAGCAGCGGCGTATCAAGCCGAAGGTCGTGGGTTCGAATCCCGCTCGTGCCATTGACTTTTTTATCTCAACTAAAAACCTTAATTAATTGTATGATATTAATTGGTCGAGGGGACCACGAAAAATAGTGAACTTAATGAATTAAAATGAAGTATACTTCACTAAAGCTCAAAAATGGCAAAAAGGAGGGAAAATTCAAAAGGTGGGGTTGAGATGGGAAGTTAGTGCCCGAGTGGATTGAGATCACGATAGCTCAAGTGGTAGAGCAACGGCGTATCTAGCCGAAGATCGTGGGTTCGAATCCTGCTCGTGCCATTGACTTTTTTATCTCAACTAAAAACCTTAATTAATTGTAATATATTAATTGGTCAAGTGGACCACGAAATTAGTGAAATTATAGAAAATGTATGGGGAAAATTATCGACGATGGTATTTCAAGACTGCAAGCAGTACAACTCGGTCAATGAACTTAAAACAGCTGTCACCACTGCCTGGAAATAATTTGCCTCAAGATTTTTTCAAACTTTGTACAAAACCATTCCAGAAAGATTACTGGAAATAATAAAACTGAGTGGTAATGCCACAAAATATTATAACCTTGTTTTAAATTGATTTTATCCCATGTGTCTATAATTTTGTCGCAGACAAAATCGTTTAATTTTAGTATTTTAATAATTTTTTCTCTTATTTACTGAAAAATTAAGGTTTAATGAAGAAAAATATTTATTTCATGTGTTTTGAATAAATATTTGTAGTACAAACCCATTACATTAACAAATCATACCAATTAGGGGTGTGTCTGTAATTTTGTCATTCGGTTGCACTTATTAAAAACAAAAAATAAAATGTGTACTTACTGTTTTCCCCTCTCTTTCAGATGCATGTAGCATTTTCTCGGGATCAAAAAGAAAAGGTGTACGTGACCCATCTTCTTGCCCAAAATGCTGATCAGATATGGAATGTCCTTGGGGAGAACAACGGGCATGTCTACGTCTGTGGGTGAGTAAAAAAAATCGAGTTTGAAAATAAAGATTCAGACTCTAATTCTTCACGTTTTAGCGATGCGAGAACAATGGCTCACGACGTTCACGGCATTCTCTTGAAAGTCTTTCAAGAACAAGGCAAAATGACAGAGGCCGAAGCCCAGGCCTACCTGAAGAAAATGGAAGTGCAGAAGAGATATTCGGCAGATGTCTGGAGTTAAACAAAACCCTGTTATCCAACTACTTCAAGTGCCTACTACACTTAGATCTACATGACAAGCTGGGCCTTGTTTTTTTCTTTTTTAGTTTTTGTTTTAAATGTACATGACAGTCCGGCGTATATTTTTGTAAATACAAGAAAGAGCCTGGTGACCAAGACTTGTGTTCCAGTTTTCAATGTGTGTCTGTTCTGATTCAATACCAATGTATGTGATATATTTTGTGAATATGCAGTCGTGTTAAGAAAACAAATTCTTATTTATTGTTATATTTTGTCAAAATACTGCGGTTTAATTTAAAAAAAAAAATAAAATACAGTTTTCTATTTATCTACTGTTAAAATTTAATCTTTTGTGTTAAAGGGATTGAAATATATCAAATATTTGTATTGTTGTCAAATATATATATTGTTTAATTTTGTATGTTAAATTTCCGATGTTGTTTGGGTTTGATTGGGGTTTGTAAGATAGTTTGAGGCCTTATGTTACAATTTATAATAAGCTGTTACCATTATGGACTACTGGTCATGATTTTTTAAAAAGTCATTTTTGATTAAATTTTAGTTTTAGAAATTTAACATCTATCAAAAATGACTTGGTTGTTTTTAATGTATTATTTTTATACAATTGAAAAATCGAGTATTGAATATATTTTGACGAATTAATAAAAGTGTATTATTGTGTGCAAAATTAGTAATTAACAAGATGAATATATACATACATTTTTTCCTTTTTTTTCTTTTCAATTTGAATGTAACCTAGAAGAATGAAATATCTGAGACAAGATTTTTAACGGACAGCCTGCATATGTTGCATGTGAAAGCCTATGAAAAATAGTAAATACTTTTACTTTGTCAGGTGCTCATAAGAGAATGTTTATTTTATTTATTTATTTTTTGAGGGGATTTCAACGAGGTTGTACGAACCTTCAGGGTGCCAATGTTTGTAAGCGAATGTACAGAAAAGCCCGCTTGTATGTCTGGTCTGAATGCAGGGCCAGTGCTCATAACGCGTTAAAAAAGTTGTAGTTTTTATATGTTCAAGTAAAATTTTTGGGGCCGCGGTAGCCGAGTGGTTAGCGTGAGAGACTCTCGGCTCATAGATCCCGCGGTCGTGGGTTCGATTCCCACCATCGCCTGTGGCCTTTTTTTCGCGCTACCCTTCCCCCCCCCAAACGAATATGCATAATTAACATTGTCTTTGGCTAATATGCTCAGAACATAAAGCCATTGAAAAAGAAGAAAAAAAAGAAAAAAAAAGTAAAATTTCAAAATTATTATGGATTATGATAATATTGCATATAACATTTTTGTAGTAAAACGTGTCATTTTAGCGTTTTTTCATTATTGTTATTTTTATTAAAGCAAATATAAAAAAAAAAATTACAAAATAACATTGATAGAAGAAAAATGTTCAAAATTTTAATGTATATTGATGGAGCAGGCCTTTTCAGGTTACCCGTAACAATTCGCCATCAGCCTTAGCATTGTTTCAGGATTGTCCCAGGGGCCAATTTTGGGTCCCACGCTTTTTTCAATTTTTATCAACACCCTGCTCAAGCCTAGATCCAGATCCAGTACTACTCAATTTTCCTTTTTTCCCTCCTGGACAGTTTGGAAAAACTCGAAGAAGATTCAATCTGTCTTTCATTCCATTTTGCTTCTTCTGCCCTCTCCTAGAGTTTAGTTTGATTTTTCAATTTGTTGCTTATTTTCCTTCTTAATTCAATATCTGTTTACAGCAGTAACATTTTCTTTTTCTCATAGAGGAGACATCTTGCTTTGACTACCATATCTTTTCTTCTGCTCTAATTTGGAAAGCGTCAGAGGGTGAAACAAAAGTTTATTTACAGCTCTGTAGATTTCCAAGGCAACGAACATTAAAAGTCATTTGATCTCAGTCAATGCCCATTTATCATTTCTAATAATTAACAATAGAGAACAATCCATGGAAACAAGAGGTAAATAGGCAGCAGTATTCCAAAGTAATATTGTTACTTAAGCACTTAATACTTGTATAAATGTAGGGAACGGATTTGTGATAATTGTACCTGAAGTTTGACTAGAAAACGGATCTGTGTTTGCAGTGGTCAATGTCTACACCGTCTTTCATTTTTGAATCATTGGAACTTTTTTTTAAGGGTATTTCAACTACGAGGTTATACAAACCCTCGGGGTGCCAGTGTTCTTGAAAAAAGACCACATATATGTCAGGTTCAAATGCAGGGCAGAATTTTGTTAATTATAAGATTTTAACCTTGTTTTCTGGTTATCAGTATTCCTTCTTCTTTCTGGTGTTAACTTAGCTTTATTTTGAACCATCAAATAAATTCAGCACATAATATTGATGCAGGTCTACATGCTTAGAGTACTCAAGCCATTTTTAAAAAATAAATACATGCTGAACTATAAAATATACTCTCGGTCAGCTTCTAACCAATTTGAATTATTTAGTCAACAGTTCATCACTAATAATTGAATATTATAACGATTACATTCAAAATGCAGCCAACAGGACTGAAAACTTCCTTATTGAAGAAAATGTGAGGCTTGGCTCTGGTAACAAACCCAGCATCAAATAATATGGCTGGTAGCAAACCAATAACAAATAAATTAATAGGAAAATAGACAAAACAATAATGGATATAAAAATTATATTATTTATCCAATATATACATAAAACACAATTAAGAAAAGGTAATTAATTATCAGTAACTAAAATTTAAATGAAATTTTTGACATTTATATGACAATAAGATTTAAGTGTTGTTTCTTCTTTTAATGCCTTTAGGTAAGTCATTGTTGTAACACTTAAAAATCAAAATTATAAACAGAATCTGTTGTTAAAAAGTCAATATCTATCTTGTTATAATGAATTTTATTGGTAGAATCGAGGTCATTGTAAGTTCTTTCATTGTCACCATCAGTCTGGTCGACATTCATCCTTTTTGACTTCATTCTTCTGTTTTGAAACCAGACTTTAATCTAAAAAGATAAAAAAGATGTAAATAACAAAATCTAATTACAGGAAAGAGCAGAAAAACTTATATGTGTATTTATTATTAATGTTATGGCTAATAGTTAACTTATTAGTACATTTAGTGCTTACCAAAAACAATGGACCTTCAGGTCTGCAAGAACCTGAAGGAAAAGTTATGAATGCCTACCCTCGTAGAGATAGTTTTGACTTTGAAAAAAAAGGAAAAGAAAGAAGGGAAAAAGTTGTAACTTGGTGAGATCTAAATAAGATCTGCAACATTCATTGGCATTTCATCAATTTGTGTACTGTAGTACTGCTCAATATCTCTGAGGATCCTTATATCATCACTCTTGACAAATATGATCGCAACTCCTTTTCTCCCGAACCTGCCAGATCTGCCAATCCTGTGGATGTAAAGTTCTCGGTTGTTCGGAAGGTCATAGTTGATAACAAGCGAAACTTGTTGGACATCGATACCCCTGGCCCATACGTCTGTTGTGATAAGGACTCTGCTTTTACCAGACCTGAATTCCTTCATGATTGCGTCTCGTTCCTTCTGAGGCATGTCACCGTGCATGGAGCAAACGGTGAAATTGGCCTCACGCATTTTATCGGTGAGCCAGTCCACCTTTCTCCTCGTATTGCAGAAAATAACAGCTTGTGTTATCGTCAAAGTATCGTACAGATCGCAGAGTGTGTCGAACTTCCACTCCTCCCTTTCTACAGCGACAAAAAACTGTTTGATGCCTTCCAATGTCAATTCATCACGTTTGACGAGAATCCTGATGGGATCGGTCATAAATTTGCTGGTCATCTCGAGGATTTCGTGAGGCAACGTGGCCGATATGAGGACGACCTGGGTAGCCGGCGGGAGAAACCTGTACACGTCGTAAATCTGCTCTTTGAAACCTTTGTTAAGCATTTCGTCGGCTTCGTCCAGAACTAAGACTTTAATACCCCTCGTCCTGAGCGTCCGACGTTTGATCATATCGAAGACTCTGCCTGGGGTGCCGGAGACGACGTGCTGTCCGTAGTCGAGCTTCCTGATGTCCTCTCCGAGGCTGGTCCCGCCGATGCAAGCGTGGCACTGCACGTTCATGAGATCTCCAAGGGCGAGGATGACTTTCTGGATCTGGACGGCGAGTTCTCTGGTGGGCGAGAGGCAGAGGACTTGAGTGTCTCTCACTGTGATGTCCAACTTCTGGAGTATCGCGATGGCGAACGTGGCCGTCTTCCCAGTGCCGGATTGTGCCTGGGCGATCACGTCTCGTCCTTTTACGATCGGCAGGATCGACCTCTGCTGGATGGCCGACGGCTTCTCGAACCCGTAGGCGTAGATGCCCCGAAGAAGGTCTTCTTTCAGCCCCATCGACTGGAAAGACGGGATCACTTCCACGTTCTCGCTCGTCTCGAACTCCACGTACGAAAGATCCTCCTTCACAATCCGCCTGTCCGACATCTTCGATGCTCTTTCAAAAAAAGCAAAACTTTACCAAATAAAATCGGCTAAACCGAAGCGCGACGACTGTTTCCGACGGTTGCCCAACAGAACGTGTGCCCAATAAATGGCGTCTCACGAATAACGTAGAGAAATCGTTTTTAAAGCTGCCCTTTCACGCACACTCACCGCTCTCAAACGACGAAATTTCTAAATAATAGAGCGGTGAAATAAATTCCAAACATTCGCAGAGTAGAAATGATAAAACTGAGAGTAAAAACTACCTTTTAAAGCTATTTAACATTTCAATTTGTAATTTAGTCGTTACCTATCATTTTGGTCTGCCTACCCTTGCTGTGTTGGTTGGTCAGACTCCTTTCGGCATTTCACCATCTTTTGTGTCTAATAAAGAAACGACCAAATTAAAGTTTAAACTACTCAAGTAATTAATATTTACGTGACATTTTATATATGTTTATGATTATGCGATTACGTACACCTCCGTTCTTTCAGTTTACGCCTAACAAAAGTTATAATTCCTGAGATTATAGAAAAAATGGGTACATGGATTGAGCATTGAAACTTCAGGACTATGGATCTGGTCTGTGGTTTCTCTTTTTGCGGGAAAACGGCTGGACAGATTTCTCCAAGAAATTAGCCAGGACAGCTCTCATCGAAGGCTGTTTAAATAAATCGCGAACATCGAGGCATTACTCGTAGTACAAAGATTTGGATCTCTCCTTAACATACTAGGCCCAACCTACACGACGATAGAAGGCACTCGATTGTCCGAATTTCGTTGGTTTATTAAACTGAGATGAGAACAATTGTATTTGGATTCTTGACCATGGAAGGAGGGCGACTTCAACCAAACTTGCTCTATGTGCAACTCTGGTGCAAAAGATGTATTTCATTTTATGGCCGAATGTCCTATTCTTGCAGAGTTCCGTCTTTGTATGATTACTCTGTAAAAACAGTTTTGGAATATTAAACGATATACATCTGTAAAAATCTTGCGAAATTTGCCCGGCAGACGTGGTAAAACCGATATGAATTAATCAGAGAATGTAACTGGAAAAAGCCGATTATTAAGAAACATATAAATGTGTAGTGATTAGTGACCGTTAATCGATAATTATTCAGAAATCGTGAGACCAGACCGCATCTTACGATTTCTGAAACATATAAAATTGGATTAATAATAACGTTTAAAAAATCGTAAATGCAATAAATAAAGAATTAACAGACCTCTGGCAGACGGATTTTTCCAAATTGTAAAATACTTTTGTTTTCAAAGAGCTTTTTTTTTATCGAAACTGATGCGTATCGTTTAACTTCAAGTGTGTTTTTATTTTTTAAATTTGAGTTGTATGTTAATTCTTCCTCGTCTTCGTTCTTCCATTATAACACGTACGAAAAGTACATATATTCAAATTTACATTTTACATATGCATAGAAATGGAATGATTTTAGTTTGTTTTTTTACGAAGAAAAATTTGTGTACCTGCCTCTCTGTCAAGTTAAGTTCAACTGCAATTTCGTATCTCCTGAGGCGAGTCAAATAGTGCGACTGTGAAAATTCTTCTTCCAGACGTTTGATTTGACTTTTTGTAAAAGCTGTCCTTTCCTTCCTGGCGCATTTGTCTTCTTTACGGTCTAAAACAAACGGCATCCATATAAAAAAAAAAAGAAGGAAATTGTAATGGTACTATAATACAACTAATATTTTGTTTTAAAACTCGTAGATTCAAGTTGTACCTGACAGCTTGATTAGGTATAATATTATCATATCTCTTTTCAGCTAAGCACGGTAGTAATTTATTGGCACCTCTGAATCATGCTAATTTTGACATCGCATCTTAACCATAAGTCCGTTTCGCTAGATTTAGGCGTTAGATCTTGAATAAAATATCATCATTTCATTGACAAAGAAGATTAGAATGAAATTTAAACATGATTTTATGGGATAGGCTTCCTTCGGATGCAAAATTTTATTTCGCTCCCTAAAGCAGTTGTTACATACAAAATGAGTGTTTTCTCTTTTACTCAGCATCTTTTTCGCATATCGTACGTACGAGAGAGAGAGAGAGAGAGAGAGAGAGAGAGAGAGAGAGAGAGAGAGAGAGAGAGAGAGAAGAACTGATTGAAACAAACATCCGTATGTAAATCTACAAATATGTGCCTAACAATGCAGTTAATATTGCAGTTAATATTAGAAATATTGACACTTCATAAGCGATTGTCCCATATTTTACATCAACCTTAAACACAATATGACGCGAATATTCTTTTTTTTTCACTCACTCGATTCGAATTGTTCGTTAAGATTGTTTGGCGGTTGATAGACTATAGGATCGTGGTTCCTCCAAAGTGGCCATTCCTGGCTCCAGCTCCAGTTGTCCATCTTGGACTGAAACTAAGAATTCAACTCCCACACTTTTTATAGGCAGATTGACGTCAGCTTTGACTGGAGACTAGTCGGCATGCCGACACATGTGAGCAACCGTCGGGGGATAAGATTTCTTCTTTTCTTTATTCCTTTTTTTTTTCTTTCTCCCTAAGCATATTTATTACAGTAAAGCCTTAATTATTATTAAATAACGTAATTTAGAAAAGACATGAGCTGTCCAATGTTGGAATATTATAAAAAGGCCGGTTAGATCAAAAGGTGTACGACTTGACATAATTGTATGGATCTAACAGTAAAATATTGTTCTTTATTACTTTTTATTACGGCCTTAAATTTATTTGTTTAGTTTTATCTTTAAAAATAGAATTAGATTTTTTTAAATGTTGACTGGTTCTTAATCCTAAATTGCAAAGTAAACCTGACGGATCAAATGGTAAGAGTCGTTCAAACTATTGACAAATCAAACTAACTTTTAATCACCAGAACAAAAAAAATAGTACAAATTCTTTTCTCATTAATTATGGGTAACTTTTAAAAACTATAATTTCAGCCAGTTTCAATTTGAATAATATTCTTATTGAGAAAAGTAGTACACCATCTTGAAAGTAACTTTTGTATGGCAGATAAAAAGTTCTTTTTTGTCTGATTATATTTACAATCTGAGCGGTTTATTGAAGGTTTAGAAAACGATAACAATAATCTGTCCCTCCAAGTGGCTTAAACGAATGGGCTTAATCGAAATATTTTTCATTCATTCGGATTAGATGGGACTCCCTAGACTAAACAGCTTAGTCCGACGCTTTTCCTTATTTCTTTTGGTTGTAAAAATGCGATTTTTTTCTTATGTGACTCCGAGAGACGATAATTAGAAAAGTATCTCTAAGACAACCTTTCTGACCATGTTTGTTTTATTTCAAATAATTAAAGTCTAAGGAACGATAAATTTCAATTTAAATCTTTAAAAAAAAGTTAAATTGTCGTACTTAATTTCGCCGATGGAAACAGTCAAACAAAAAAGCCCCCCGTACATTTAGGCAGGATTGCTTACAAGCTAAGCCCATAGAACTTCCGATAGAGTTAGCTATTAATTTTTAATTAATTTGTATTTTAAGCGGCCATGGATAGGTGGTCTCATTATTTAATTATTGGGTTGTCCGGGAAATAATTCAGGTTTATGGTTATAAAATAAAAACAATTAAATAAATGATTTAAACAATTTTTAGCAATTAAAATACCTTCCATAACTCCCAATACACTTCTCTCAACGTGATGGCAACTTCTCTTTACCCTATGCATAGAATTTTGAGCCTTTGTTATTAACAAATTCTGTAAACGTATTTTCTAACGACTTTTGATCAATGCATTTTTTATGTTGTTAAACGGTTTCTGAAAAAAAGGTAGGCGAGAGGTCTGGGGAATAGGGAGGATGAGGCAGATCCTTATAATTAAGTTCCAACAGTTTTCCTATTGTCACAAATGAGATGGGGCCGTGTTTTGTCGTGGAACAGAATCAGCTTTTTCCGATTGAACAAAAATGTTTTCAATAGTGCCAACTTCTGGTGCATTACTTCAATTTGAGGGCGTTGATTGTTTCTCCAGGATTCAAGAAATTGTTTTTTGATAAGGTGGGGGGAAAATGTGGTGCTACTTCTCCTATGTAGAGCCATTGTCCAGGTCCAGAATGTCTGCTTTTATCGTAGAGAATCCACTTTTATCACAAGTAACAATTATATTTAGAAAAGGTTCGTTTCTGTTTAGGCAATGAAGTGTTTGGTGGCAAACTTCAAAACGATGATTTTTTTGGTGGTCGTTTGATGTGTGAGTAACTTTCGAGCTTTTTCACCTTTCCAGGTGGTCAGCGACGGTCGATTTACCAACTGAGAAATTCTCTGTAAGATTTTGAATAATTGCTCTGGGATTTTCTTCGACTAAATCTCTCAGAACATCATCGTCTAGAATATAAGAAATTCTTCCTAGCGTTCTTTCAAGGCTAAAGTATCCGTCTTGAAATTGTTTAAACCATCTCTGAACGAAAGTGCTCTCACTTGCACTGCCATCGCCCCAGTCTTAATTAATGTTTCTGGCCGATTGAACGCCGTTCCTACTGAGTTTAAATTCTTAAAACGAAATTACGCGAAAATCACGCGTTGACATTTCAGTAAATACGGAAATATTCCCCATGTAACGAATTGCTACTGAGGTAAACAATAAGGCCGAGTATGTTTGGTGAATAGGCTAAACCAACAATGAAGAGAAGTGCGGTTTTCTTCGGAGTATGTTACAGTAAAAAAAAAACCTGAGAACGGCGAAATAAAGTCGGCCAGGTTGAACAGTGTCTACTGCCAAAAACTTTTATAAACAACTAAATTGGCAAAATCGTTACTAATTTAATAATAGCCGAATAATTTAATTATTTTACGGTTATCGATCTAATACCAGTATTAACTGAGGATCTCTAGCTGTACTGTTGAAGATTTATTGTTAGTGTACTAAACAGTGATATACTTCAATTATCTGTCCCTTAGTAAAGATTTTTTTTCTTATTTTCTCTAGTTTAACCATTTAAATACCACATTAAATTTAAACCCTAGAATAGGAAAATTATTACCCTAATTTTAGTATAAATCTATTTGAATTAAATGTGTGCTTGTTCAAGGAAGATTGTCAAAGCAAAAATATAAATATTATGAAATTCAGGATTTAAACATTAAAAAACTGACTAATCTCTTATCTGGCCTGTTTCTATAATTCCTGATTTGCTTCCGACGCGTTTTTTTAAACTGACAATAATAGTATTTCTCATTTATTTTTCAATTGTACCCATACGTTCGTCTTTTCGTTTGTTCCTCTATGTAATACTCTTACAATTTACTGTTTTATTCTTTGTATTGTTTAAATGAAAAGTCAATAGTTTAAATTTTTCATTCTACAGGTCACTCTCACACTTAAAAAAAAATCTTTTTCAGAAAGGAAAGCCGACGATCGGTACAGATGAAAATTGTCTTTCGGTTAACATTTGAAGTGAGATTGTAGTCTAAACGAACGGATAAGGCGTGAACGAATATCTGGCGGATCTCTTCTTTTAGTCGGCGACCTTTAAATATGAATTAATTGGAGCAAGAGAAGTTTTTTCTCTCGCCTCACGAGAGAACGCCGACTTGTAAAAGCATAATTAAACAACGCTATTAGAGTACTTTGGTAAGTAGTGGCGTCGTAATTTTCAACAAAATAAAAATAAAAATAAAATAAACTATTTGGTTTGGACATAGAGTTGGACTGTGAGAGGACAAACATTTCTGTGCTAATTTTGAATTAACTTTAATTTTAAAAATGCGATAGAAGTTATGTATTTCGTTATGTAATAAAACGTTAAAAACACACAAAAAATATAATATCTTATGCAATCATCACATCCACTGTGGTACTACTAATAAAAGGAATTATAAAAAGTCCAGGAACAATTATAGCCACACTAAGTTCAATGCAAAATAAATGAAACTATCGAATAAAAATTATATTTTTGTTTTTGCTGATCATACTTTGTGTACGTTTCGGCATCATGCAACTGAACAACAAACTAAACTACAGTAAGTTAATAAAAATTACAATTATTTATTTGTAAAAAACGTCAGTTAAAGAAATTTAATTATACAAATACCGTGGATAAATTAACTAAAACAATTTAAAAGAAATTGACGACAAATTTTAAACGAACGAAAGTAACTACTGGAGTGAAATATTACACTTAACTAAAAATAAGTATTACAAATTAAAGCTTTTACAAAATTTATAATTTCATATTTTCATCTAATTACCTATCTGGATGTCCGATAAATCTACTGTGAAGTTAAAGGAACGCAAGATAAACTAAAGCTAGATGCAGCTAATTATTTTTTGTGTTTGTAATTGTGGCGTATTGTATAAATGTGATCACAATATTTTTTTCACACGGTCACAGTACTAAGTCCAATGCTGTACCCCGACGACATATGCCATGAGAAGCCTCTGGCACTCAGTATTGCCGTCCTTTCCTCCTGGCTTTAAGGTGGACAGCCCCTTGGAATTTACTAAGTCCGGAATGGAACTTGTTGAATAATTCGTGAATTATTAGTCGGGAGTTGTCGTTTTTGTGTATCTGGTAGTTCCTCACGTAACACTGGGAATTTATTTTTTATTGCTTGCAGCCGCTTTATTTTGGATGAAGACGCTGCTCTCCATATTTCGCACTTATGCCACCGGCCAGGGGCCTTACGATAGATTTATAAACTAGTATAGCGAGTTTGGGCCTTATCTTGGATTTGCGGTTTATAATGGAATATAGCACACCCAGACGAGCAAATCCTTCGTTCATTTTTTAATGTATGTGGTATTTCCAGGATATAGCCTTCTGTCCAGGTAAAATCCTAGGTACTTCACAGGGCTGTCAGGAGGATTTCACGGGATACCGTTTCCTTCAATTTGTAAGACTGTTGGGTCGCATGGGTAAAGATTTTCGCTTCGCACTGGAAGCAAAAATCTTGAAGGGATTATCTCCAGTTGCCATTTATCACAACATAACACATTTATCATAGTTTGATCAAAAACGTCCTGAACTGCTTATTGAATTTCTAAGATATCATGATTGGAGGCAATGTATTAGTGTGATGTAGGTTTAGAAAAACATTTTTTTATTGTGTCAGCGTTTCGACCTTTATTTAGATCATCTTCAGGGCTCAAGTGTGTGTTTTCTGGGTAGATTTATCACGGTTCTGAGACGTGTTGCAAGTGTTAGTGTTATAATTATTATATAGTTATAAAGGTTTGCTTACAATTAGAATAAAGGGGAAATATAAATGAGAAGTTTGTAGTATGGGCGATCGAAGTAGCTCAAGTAGTTAGAGCAACGGCGTATTGAGCCGAAGATCGTGGGTTCGAATCGCGCTCATGACACTAACTTTTTAATTTCAACCAAAACCTTACCTAAAAAGATTAATTAATTGAAAGAAGTAATTTGGTCAATCAGACCTCTAAATATAATGAGTTCTTTTTAAACTTTAAGTAATAAGATTGTACAACTTATCGAATTCCGGAGAATATTTTTAATCGATCGGGAATTTATGTATTTGATCGTAAGCTTGAAAAACATATTTACATTTACTAATAACAGTTTATGACTTTATGAGTCATCACTTTTGCCTCAGTCATACAAATCATATATTTATGACGTTATTTCTTTAAGCATATTTAAAAGCGCTCGAATATTAATGTTAATTAATTTAATATTTATTACTGTGATTTTGAATGATAATTAAAATTATCAAAAGAGCTGGTTAGGGAATTGAATAGTGTTCTAGTTCTTATCTACGACATAAACCTTACACTGATGGAAACCTACCTTTGTTGTGTGCTTTTTTTAAACGTCTTGATTTTTAAAATTCCTTTCCAATATTTTAATTAATAATAAGACATAAAAAAATAAGTAAAAGAAGTATTTAATTTGCAAAGTACTGCGAGCGTTTGGATTGCGATGAAATTTAAAGATCGGTTTCAAGACGGAATATGAATCCGACGGTTATCAAACCGCAAACGCTCGGACTACGAATGCAATTCTGACCCCTGGGAAAGAAATTTTTAAAAAATAATGTTGGAATGGGCCGTTGGAAGGTTAGACCATTTATTAATCGCTTAAAAGAATTTAATTTTTTCCATTTGAAGCTCCATTGCATATAGTTAGTTATAGCGTTCTAATTCTCAATTCAGGACCGTCCTTTGAATATTCTGTACTGTAAAAGGGCACCTTGGTGTGTGTTGTAGAATGTTTAGATCTGCAATGAGACCCCCAAACCAACCGTCAACGTTTGTTAACGATGCTGAAAATTGCATCTCGTCAGACCGTGCTGCAGCAGTTTCAGCCGAAGATGTCGAGGTAAGTCGATTTGAGTGACAAGTGAAATTTATCTTTTACGTATTTTGAATTCTCCAACAATTTAACAGTAGTCTTTTAGTTGTTATACTTTCGTGAAACCTAGTTTGTAAATGTCCGAGATATTTGTCAGTCGTTTGATCATCTTGATCTCCTTGGTCTCTGTGTTTGTTAAGCTACTTCTGCTACTTGTTAAGCTTACTGCTGACAGATTATGTAAAATTTTCAAGTTGTGCGAATGTAAAAATAGACGAACATAGATGGAAGCATTTATTTTATTGATATTGTACAATTCACGATTCACTCATTTACTAAATACATTAATAGGTAGACAATTCTCATCATGTTTTGCTCAAAATTGCAACACTCTATGCTGACAAATTGATGAACGACATAAGTCTCATAGTCGGCGGGATCGAATATCCGGCTCACAGGCTTATCCTGTGCGCTTCCAGCGATGTGTTCCAGGTATTTAACAAAACAGTCATAATTCGAAAAGCGGTTTGTGAGTTGTTACTGTCCATTTTAGGTTATGCTTATGAACCCACAGTGGAGTGAATCGCACGAGAGCAGAGTCGTGTTACAAGAAACTCCAGCTTGTGCTGAAATATTTGGTCAATTCTTGAGGTATTTTTACACCGGCCAGATAAAAATCAACCATAAAATAGTCACACCTCTTTTGGCCCTTTCTGACAAATACAACGTAAAGGTTAAAGCCTCAGTATATTATTGGTTGTGTGAATTGTTATTAACTTGAATGTAATTAATTACAGGATCTTACCAACCTTTGTATAGAGTACATGTGCAGCCACATAGCCTTAGCTGCTTCAAACAATCAACTTGTTACCTGGTTCCAATATACCTTATCTATCGGACACCATATCGTAGCTTATGTAAGTAATTTTTTAAATATTAAAATTAAAGGTCATTTGTTATTGAAATTCATAAAGCATTTTATTTTCATAAGAAACATTTTTAAATAAACCATGTCAAAATATGCCACATGATCCTTGGCACACACTTCGAACCGTCCAATAGTCAGATTTAAGTGTTTGAATCGCAAGTAAGACTGTTTTCAACTATTCTAATTGTTTATTTAATTTGTTTGTCTCTTTGTCTTTAAATCACATTTTTATTGATAATTATTTGATCTTTTAGTAAAAACAATTATACTCAGTAAATATTTAATGCATATGAATTACATTATTTGATAGTATAATATGCAACTTATAAAACCATGCAAGTCGAAAAGGAAGTTCACTCAATGAGCAGAATGTGTCTGTGACAACCAGTGTCAAGAATGATCTAACACAGAGCTTCCCCAACTGTGGTCCACAGTAAACTTTGAGAAAAAATAATAAATAAAAAATAAATGGAGAATGAATAATTACAATTAAAAATGAATAATGATGAGTACTGAAAACAAAAGTTTTGATTTTGCAGCAGCAGTCATTGTGTTCTCTGTAGGCATACTTTAGTTATGAAACAAGTACCAGCCTCTTTTAAGAAAGTTTTGGATGAGTCTGTTCAAATTATTAGTTACATCAAGTCATGGCCATTGACGTCAAGATTTTTCACAATACTACGTGTCAATATGGGAAGCCTTCATCATTCCCAGCTTCACCATACAGACATGTCCAAGTTAGGGGACTGTCTGTATAAGTACTTTCACAATCACAAGAATTACATTCTGAAGTCTTATATCTATTGATGGACCACAATTTCAAATTGGCCAACGTTTTCAATTCTGGATTTTGTTTTGTGAAAAGGGTCTGCTGGCTAAAAAGTTTGGGAAGGCCTGCTCTAAGAGATGCTGCCTAAGATAATGTTACAAAAATATAGCGAACTGTCAAATGAAGTAGGGTTGTCGCAGAGAAAAGGTGTGAATGGCCACCTAAACTAGATAGGAAAAGTTACAAGTGTGTGTAAAAAAGTTAGACAAGCTTAACTCGCAAGAACCTGAACATCTGGAAACACGCTAGTTGCTCTTTCAAAATTCAAGTGTTCATTGATTTATCAAAATATTTGTTATCGGCGAACAAAATAAATTTACTAATGCACTCCCAACGCCTTGAGACATATGCTAAACCGAAACCTGCTTTTCGAGAATTAAAAGCCCTGTTTTCAATTTTTATTTTATTTTTAAAGTTATCAGATATGAGTTTCTTCTATTGGGCATCCTAGTTCTATTTGGAACTGTGATAAACTTGCATGTTTTTGGAGAGGTGATTACTGGCTTGGAACAGGATGAAAGTTTTCATTGTCAAAACAAAAGTTGTACCAAAAGGCTTGGACTGATACTGCAATGGTTACAAAGAAAAGTTATACAGGGTGAATTGCTACTCGTGCTACAAACTTCTCCAGTAGATTCTTCACCCTAAAATGAACAAAAAAGTTCATATTGTCCATGGTCCGATTCTCAACCATTTCAGAGTAATTTCGCTTTTTATCGATTTTGAAAGATATCACGTCCTGGCGTCGGAAAATCGTGATATCTTTTAATCTAAACATTTCTCTTAAAATCTATAAGCACCGTTGAAATCCCCGTTAATTTTTAGAGAGAATCAAAATCATAATTCCATTGAAATTTTTTAATTTAATTTAATGCCCATTTAGTATGTAATGCTTAAGAAGTTTACAAACAGCTAGAAGGTCAAGGAAGAAAGACCCAAACGTTTTGCCACCTTCATCTTCTTATTGAAAAATTAACGGGGATTTCAACGGTGCTTATAGATTTTAAGAGAAATGTTTAGATTAAAAGATATCACGATTTTCCGACGCCAGGACGTGATATCTTTCAAAATCGATAAAAAGCGAAATTACTCTGAAATGGTTGAGAATCGGACCATGGTCAATATGAACTTTTTTGTTCATTTTAGGGTCAAGAATCTACTGGTGAAGTTTGTAGCACGAGTAGCAAGTCACTCTCAAACATTAGCAATCCTTGAACCACCATTTTTTCTCTTTTTGTCATCAACATCTTGGTCTCACAACCACTAAATAAGAAAATGACGAGTGCGTTGGAAGCGTTATTAAATCAGGTAGTTTTCCTCAAATTTGCTGCCTTCTGAGACTAAAATTAGAAACTCTGGATTACTTTATACACTTTCCGATTTACACAATTTTCCACTCTTTTTGTAGTTCTGGCTGAAATAAAACACAAAAAATTAGCCCAAACATTTTGCCACCGTCATCTTCTTATTGAAAAATTAACGGGAATTTCAACGGTGCTATTAGATTTTCAGAGAAATGTTTAGATTAAAAGATATCACGATTTTCCGACGCCAGGACGTGATATCTTTCAAAATCGATAAAAAGCGAAATTACTCTGAAATGGTTGAGAATCGGACCATGGACAATATGAACTTTTTTGTTCATTTTAGGGTGAAGAATCTACTGGAGAAGTTTGTAGCACGAGTAGCAATTCACCCTGTATATGTGGGATAATGTAAAAACTGTAGTAAAAGTATTTTTTCAATCAATATGTAAGGAGGGGCCTGTAGGAAATGGAACTGCTAGCAAAATTATTAAATAATATGATGAAAATATTTATTAAAAAAATTGTTTTAACTTGTGAATAATGAAATATCAGTTTTTTACTCACAGAATATTATCATACCGTGTAATGTTCATTAGATGTTCCAACAATCAGAAGTGTGTGACTGGTATTATTTACAAATGAATAACAATATTTATACATTTAGAACTTGGAATAGAGGAAATCCATAAAAAGTTTGTTTATAATTAACATTTTAAATTTAAAGAATAATCATTTAAAAATTTAATATTTAGTAATGTTCAGCTGTATGGCTTAGGGCTATCACACAATAGCGGTTTTGAACAAAGCATTTACCAAGAGGAAAACTGAGTCGGTGGGTCATTTCTTTCTTGAGAGTGGGACATGACAGATGGTGCAGTGCGAATCGCCTGGCGGTTTTGAAAGCATATTTCCTGGAATGGTTGTTAGTTGTGCATCAGCCATACTACACGTATCTGTTTTATGTCCAACTACACGTAAATTATTTGTTTTCGATTTTATTTTTATCTTGCATTCTTTTGCATTTAATTTATTAATTTCAACATGAACCACTATTGTTTTACATGTAATATATATACTTTTACAAGTTATATATTGTTCATTTCCTGCAAGTTACAATTTTTAGAGAATTGTTTATATACTGTTACATTGTTTTTGTAGAGGAGGTTTATTTGAGTATACGGAGGTGTCGAATTAGATTAGCTCTTTCTGGATCAAGCAAAGGGCAGTGGAACAAGAAAAGTTCCACGTCCTGAAACTGATTGCAGCAAATATACGCCGGTAATGTTGGCATTTCAATTCCTTGCAGATATTCCTGTGTCCTTGAGAGTCTCTTTATTGAGAGTCAATCCGATTCTGTCTTATACCTTTTGAAATTTTCTACCTTTTTTATCCAGTTGATTCCACAATTCCAAATCCAAATTATTGAAATGTTCTTTTTTCTGTTTATTTCCCTACAATCAGGAAACCTATATTCAACTGTTTTTCATTCTTTTTCCATTGGTAATATAGTAGGGACAGCAGAAGTACTTGTTTTTCGTCCATTGTACTAATAAACAATATTAGAATATAGTGCAGTATAATAATTGACAATACAGGAAAATGATTGGAACGAGATCGGCTCCTTTGAAGTAACCAACACGGTACTGCTAGTGATACCACAGCATGAGTCAGCTACGAAAAAACCGCGTTAAAAGCTTCAAAACCGCTACCTGTGTCAAAGCCCTTTGAAACCTTTTATTGAATATTGTCAGAATAATGTTTTGTGTGATTAAATATAATTAATATTTCAGGTTTGTTATTTTATTTATTTGGCTTAAAATAAAATTTAAAAGAAATATGTCGAAAAAATTAGTTATTTCAGTTTATTTTTCTAGGTTTGCCAAAATTTTTTAAAATGGAATTTTGAGTTAGTTGCAAAGAGTAAAGATTTTGCAAATTGCACTCATGAAATTCTGTCCAAGTTGCTACAGTGGAATGATTTAGTCGTTACAAATGAAATAACATTGTATAAGTTAGTAATTAAATTTAAAGTTTTATTTGAAACTCATATAGCAATACTCAGTAAATTTTTTTTTTCAGTTATGCGGTGGTATGGCTTGAACATCAGAGGCAAACACTTATCGAAGAGGGTCTTACGGGTGACAACTTAGAATTTTATATGAAAAATCTAGTTCAGGAAATTATGTCCCACATTAGATTTCCAATGATGACTCCAAGGCAACTTGCTGAGCTTCTCCTTAGCCCGCTTACAACAAAATATAAAGAGTTTTTCATTGAAAGAATGGCAATAGGGATGGCTTTTCATTCTGGTTAGTTATTATTAAACAAAAAAGAAAATTAAGAAATATAATTAATCATGATTAATCAATTAAGATCAATTTTAGATCAGCGTGAAAGAGTTCTTGAGGTTGCAAGAAGCGAAGCTGGAAAATTGCAGTTTACCCCTAGATTGTACACCGCAGACACTTTCAGCTCTACGCTCTGTGTAGATAATTTTTCATCGATGCCATTCTACCAAACGAGAACGCTTGTCTTCTCTTCCCATTCAGGCTTAGCTGAACATATGGGTGACAAACCATGTGACTGGGTTAGAATTTTATGTTCTTTTGATAAAATGTTTTTATTTAGATTATTGATTTAAAACTGGCTTTGTTTCAGGTAATTGATTTATACCCAAAAGGAGTTTGGTTTCCAAAGTGTTTTCTCATCGTGTGGCAGGGGACTGTCGAGTTACCCGAGAGCATACTTTGTTCAGTCAGACTCTCAATTACTTGTAGAGATGTCACAGAAGATTATCTCAGGGTAAAAATTGGAGTGCTTATTGTGGGTCTACAGGACGGTACTGAGCACGTTGTCAATGTAGTTGAGAAAAACCATTATTTCAGCAAGGATGATAGAGTCTTGAACATAGATAATATCATACCTTTTGATGACTTAAACTTAAGGCTTATTAAAAGCGATGGACATAAGCGACCACCTTACACTTACCTAGTCGGGCTTAACAAAGATTGCCTCAAAGTTCATATTGTCATCGCTCCGTTGTCAGATGTCTCGAGTATAGAACCACAAAAAGATTACTTCTTCCATAACCGAGGGAGGTAGCAAAGACTTAATTTATAATTGTATTATTTGTAATTTACATAATATTGACTATGAAAGAAATCTTCATTCAATGAGACGTCAAAATACTAAGTTGATATTTTCAGAATTGTCTTCCTTAAAATAATTTTGGAAATAATATGAGTCAATTGTATTCCAAATAAAAAAGGAAGTCTTAGGGAATGTTAATTAATTTTAAACGCGTAAGATTTTTATTTTCTTCAAGCATTCTTAAATACATCGTAGATGTATAAAATGTCGATAATTGTTCTCAATTATACAGGTAATGTACTGCAATTTATCAAAACCAAATTTTTGAGCAGTATAAAGTGGGATCAAGCTCCGCACAAAATTAACATTACAACACTGTCAAAATAAAAATAAATAAAAAAGTAGACAATGGACAGCATTCATCATGATTGATGTAGTCAAATGTACATAAAATGTGTTTTGCATAATTTTAAACGTTGAATGAACCATTGTTACATGATATGTATGTGTGAAAAAGGCTGTAAATGTTATTTAAAAAAATTATTGAGACTTAACTATTATATGTTGTTTGTTTATTTGCTGTGTTTATTATAAATTTTATTATCAATTGTTATTGCAAATAAATATTAATTTAAAAAAAGAAACTTTTGTCTGATTGTTAACATGTCCTATATATCATATATATACAAATTTTTTAAATTCAAACTATCACGCATAAATATTAAATAAAACATGAATTTGAACATCCTTACTCTTTTGAATAATTGGTTTTGTAATATTTTATACTTAAACCCTGGTGAGAGCTGGGATGTTAAAAAACAAAATCAAATTTGTACTATTATCCCACTGTTGAAACACTTGTGAAACCTTAAGTTTGTGGGGTGATGAACTTGCAGATTTATATCCTGGTTTAAAATTTCCGATAGCTTTTTCAATCATGTTTTGAGAACAGGTATAGTTGTTACGATTCATTCATGTCATCACATCATTTTCAGAAGTGATAAGATTTCGGCTAAAGACCGGATTCCCGTGCAATTACTCCTTTTTTTTTTTTTTTTTTTTTTTTTGCACTTTGAATGAAAGCAGCAGAGATATATTAATCACGGAAAGAACATACTTCTGACAGTACTATTATTTTACACGAAATTGCAGTATACTTCACAGTTTTTGCTTTTTTTAAATTTTTATTTTATACACATACATATTGCACATAAATTTAAATGCATGAAAACAATCTAAATAATTTTAATGATTTTCAGCATTGAGTAAACAAATTTAATGTAATCGCTTCTTCCAAGTTCTCAACTCTCAATGACTAGAATTTTTTCGTCAGCTCTGTCCCATCATTTTGTACTTCTTATTTCTCACTTCCTCAGTCTTTCTTTGGCTTGGGACCAGAGCAGAACCACACGTTCAATAATCGAGAGATTTCTTCCTGTGGTCTGTATGGTGATGAACCTATAAATTGATATTTACTAATGTATGTAGTAATGGTATTTATTTTATTAAAATTATAAATTATGATAAGGTAATAAAATATGTATAACACATTCAGGAAGCATATTATTTATTTATAAGAAAAAATAATGTAAATTCAGTTTAAACCTTGTGATATGCATAAAGTTAGTTATATTATGTATTGTCATGAATGCTTTATCTATCATTTATTTTTCTATACAAAGGTTTGTTAATCAAGAGATGTAGAAATAGATAATAAATACTGGAAAACAATAATTAAAAAAGAAAGAAAGACAAATCACATTACATACAATATTTGTTAAAATTATTGTGTATCACTTGTACTTATTGTCTTTTAAATAAACATTACTAAATAAACAATTTTTTACAGCTTTCAATGCTTAAAAAAAAATAAAATAAAACAATATCATTCTACTTTATGGATATAACGGATTAGGCACAGAGGACAGTCTTACACAAACTTTGTTTCACAATACTTTTGGAATGTTTTCTTATTACTTACCAACTATGTATCTAGAATAAATTTAAAATCTTAACACCCTGTGACTAATTTATCACTTACTGTGCCAAATCCCCTAAATATAATTAATTAAATGCATGTAAATTGCGTAAAACTAGAAGTAGCACCGACCTATTTGTGATTCAGCCCATTGTACGACATATTATGTCAAAAGCAATCAACATAAATGGAAGCATTTAAGGCGTTCGACGAATGTATTAAGTACTAAAAATCTACTTGGCCCTCTTCGGTATCATTTGAAGGTAACTTAATTGAGCACACTTTCATCTGAGCTTCAACACAACTTGGTCACATTCAGGACAACAGGGACTTTGGAAACATGTTCATGTCAATGTAATCTTTGACTATCTGCAAAAAAAATGTTTCATTTTTGAAAAATATACAATTTCCATTGATTAATACTAGTGAAATTGTTTTATGAAACACTTATGCATCAATAATGTTTCTTGAGAATTGTGAGCAAAAATAGATTATTTTATTACCTCCTTAATATAATCAGCCGTTATTTCTGGCACTGATACTTCAAATCCAGTCAATTTTATTTTATCAGTGCTGAGATATAAATGTTTATTATGTAATTGTTCTTTGTGTATGTATGGAGAGAGTGGTGTATTGACAACTCCGTTTTGGTTGCAGAGTTTTGCCCACGGAGCGAGATGTTTGTCATTGATCTCGTCGACCACTGTGTTCATATCAACCTGAAAGATTTTATTTTTGCTTGAAACCAAACAAACAAGTTTATTGATCATTACCTTGCACAAAGAAGAAGCTACATTCCCCCAATAGTCGTGGTTGATTGAAAACACTTCTGACAATGCTTCTGTCAGAATCCCCTGAGTCGTTTTGCCCTCATCAACCAAATTGTAAATTCCCCCATCTTTCTCTATTGTTGCTAAATGCCACAAAGCTCTGCATACATCCCGCACATGAACAGTGTTCATAAAAAGGTCCTTACTCCAGAATAACGTCATTTTTTCACCAAGATACTTGTACAGACCAGCAATAATTATTCTAGCACCTGCAGGAAGTTTTTTTTTCAATTAATCAATCTTGATGAAAGGTATGGTTGAGATAAAAAATTATTTTATATTGTAATCAGTTGAAATGGTAAATTTTTTTATTCAGCATGGAATTATTTTCTGAATGTGTTTTTCATAATAAAGTCTATCAAAGATTTACCAAGGCCAGACTTATCACCAATTCCATAAATAATCCCAGGCCTGAGAATATTGTAGCTAAGGTCTATCTCACTGAGTTCCTCTTCGACTTTATGCTTATACTTGTCTATTATAGTCCATGGTTCGACCTTATCATCCTCTTTATGACAAGTCTTGAAAGATAGAAAATTTTGTTATCGTTATATTAATTTTAAATTAAGTAAATTTATTCAAATACTATATTTTGTAATACCTTCTCACTGCTGTACATCTGCCCTGTTGAGAGTTCTATATAACGCCATGCATTACAACTCGCAGCGGCTGTCATGCAGTTCTTGCCGACCTGATACACACCTTCTTCATATACAGGGTCTGTCTGACCTAGCTTTGTCTCACTGGCACAATTGAATACGTAATGAAACTGCATATCAGAAAATGCATTTTTGCAGGAAGCTGAAAAAACAAACAATATTAATAGGTAAAAATATTTAAAAAATGAAAGCTTTCAATACAAAAGTATGGATTGTATACAGAGAAATAGGTTTCCTTCTCCTTCCTTCAATCTTTTTTCAAGTATTTATTTCGCATAATAATTAAAGCAATTACTTTCGTTAGTAGGACCAACTAAAAACATAACAGATTAATATAATTCCTGAAGGACAAATTAACAAGAAAAAGTTTTGTTTTCTCCTAAATTAATGGCAGATTTAAGTTAAGATTGAACAGCTATTTGAAAGAAGGTCACTTCTCAACAATTAGTACCATTATCAGATAAATTAATTGTGTTCAACAAGGTTTTCAGCAAATTTTTGCAGTAAAGCCAGATACGACCGATCGATACTCCAGTTAAAGATAACATTCAATATTTAGACATGTTATTTTTATAAACATATTTACAGTTCACACTGACTTATAGCCAACTTGGACCTTTATCTTACAGTGATGAAAGCCATGTCAACGCCTAAACTGTTGTGGCCACCGACACCCCCCTAACTTATTTTTAAAGAGGTTTGGTGGGCTGTCAATTTATAAAAATAATGTGCATAGATTGTTATTTCTTGTTATGTGATAAACCTATGACTTGGTTGAAAATGGCGAAATGCCAAGAACAGCAAGCCATTATTGCAATGGCCATTCTATTGCAATTTAAAACAGATTATTTTACTTATTTTGTCTTTATTTTAATAAGTGTCTATATTCATTATATTTATTTTCTTTCACTTTCAATTTTACAAGTTAAATCAGAAAAAAGTTGTTACAAACACAATGATTTAATGCATAAGACTATAAATATGAAAAACTATGTCCCGAGCAGGTCTCACATCTTTCGGATAAATACACACAGTATACAGTAGTATAATATCTATCCAAAAGTCATGGGTAAGAGCTCATTCAGGAAACTTATTTTTCATCTCCACCTTCTTTGAATAAAAATGAGCATACTGTGATAATTAAATAAAAATTAACAATTGCAGTAATTAAAATATAGTTTAAAACGATTAAAGAATAAACTTTATTGATTTATTATAAATTTATTCAAATAAAATTTCTATCTCCCAACTCAGATTTAAAAAAATCCCTTGTTAGTTTTTGATACTATAAATCGATGTGTTTTGCAATATAAAGCTTTTTTTAAAGAGTTATCAATATTTCAACATCTTTCATTTTAATTATTTAAAGGGAGCAAACTTCCTGTGATAAATATAGCATTTCCTTCTGATAAATTCATTTTGTATCCAGTTCATGCTTAATGTGTATAAAAATAAGAAAAAAAATTAAAAATGAATCTTGCATTTTACCAATCCAAATGAACAAATTGTAAGAAAAAAGGGAAATTTAATTAATAGAGCTCCATTTCATAATATATTAAGCCTAGCTGAATATGTATGCAAAAATTTACTGAGATTAATTTTTCATTTTCAAAAATCTATATTATACTATTTTCATATCATATTTTAACAGCTTTATAATGCACATGTATAATCAATCAACTATTGTTCATTTTTATTTTTTTATGTCATTGTGGATACCAGGAACTGGAGTAGTCCCCCTGATCACTGCAGCTTTACAACTTATTGAACTCCTTCCTGGTTCCATTTTTCGTAGCATACAACAATACGGTGTGCCAGTGTTCTTCCATCATAGAAACTCATTTTCAAAGGGGGTCGGGATTAAATTCAGGGTCTCAGAGGTCCAATCCCACCTCCACTGAGGCGCCAGAAAAAAGTACAGAGGCGACAGTGGGAATCTTAACCACTTAACTACTGTGGTCTCCCAATCTTTGTTCATTCAGAAAATATGGTGGGGGAATGTAAAAAATAAATATGTTTTATTATATTCAATTACACAAGCTCTACATGAACCTCTCTCGCTGGTCCAGAGATTTGACAAACTCTTGGCTTTGTAAACCTTTAACTGCTTTTGCAAGAAAGGCCTGGGATACAGGTACAACTCAATAAAGAAGTTTAAATAATAATTTTGTTGTTCATTGTTAAATTAGTACATTATTTTATTTTTTCCTATTCTAAGATTAACTTAAAAAATATGATTTTAGTTAAAATTATTATTTTTACTTAAGTATTTTTTATGTTAATTAAAATCATCTACAATATTAACTATGTAAAATAAATTATGATGATTATAATTAAAATAATTCCAAACTCCGACATAAGGGCTTTTTGTGATGCTTAACATTTATTGAAAATATATTATAACTATTTCTTATGTTTAGTAACAAATGTATTCTTCTTCTTTGTCCATTCAATTACAAAAATATATGGGTTTGTTTCACATATCTCACATGTACTGATTGGTATTTGGGACATTTGTCCACAATTATTCCTGTTATCAAATTTTGGTCAAACGAGTTTTACATTTTACATCGATATCTTGCAATATTCTGTTTTATAGGTGGACATTAAATGATGCAGCCATTCAACAGTGTTCTTCGTATTAATAGTAATATAGCCTTTAAATGTTTGTATAGGTGTCTTTGAATTTGAAATTTTGTCACATCATTCTGTCAGTTGCATTTTGCCATTTTTCAGTCTTTAGGTGTCTTGTCGTTGCATTATTTAAAGACTACAGGATTTTTTATGTTCTTTATCTTCAGTTGAGCATTTTCACCACAAGACTTCCACCTAAATCCACATCTACATAATGACAGTAATGATCAGTTGTTTTCGTTTGAGTGTCATAATTTGATCAAAGCTTTTTCATTCATACAGAAGCACAGAAAACCTCAGAAAAACACAACTTTTTAAACGTGTATGATCGAACAATAAATAATTACCTGGGTTTATTAAATTGGCGCTTTTAAATTCGACTCTATAATCGTTGAATACTTTCTGGTGAGACTTGTTGAGCCATGCCACCTGCGGAGGTACTTTATCCACGACCCGGACATGAGCCGCCAAGTCGTTTTCCACTATGTATTGTACCAAGTTGCGCCCGACGAAGCCGCATCCTTAGCCGGCGAAATTAACAAACAAAAAAAAGAGAAAAATTAAAGCGAACAGTATTTAAAAAAAAATACGTTTAAATTGTCAGGAAACGTGATTACAAAACGAACCTCCAAAAATTAAAACGTTTATTTCACGATCTGCCATAGTCGAGTTCGGACTGTGGACAGGAAGCGAGAGCGACTGATAAGCTTGGTCGACTCGAATCGTCGTCTCGGTGCATGGGTAAACATAACCTGCTCTCATATAACCGAGTCTTGTACCTCTTGACTTTTCCTTTTTCATAACTTAGTTAATTTCTGTTGCAAATGCAACAAGATTTTAAATAATTTATATTCAACTGCAGTCTAAAATGAAATGGATCTTGTGCAGCCTTTGAATGGTCAGTTTATTTATTATATAAACGACTTTCTCGATTACGAACAAGTGTCCCAGATTTTACTGATATACTTTTTTTTATTATTCAGGAATTCCAAAGACTCCGGAATCACCGTTCGGCCCGATATGGAAGCCGGATCGTAAGTCTAAAACAGCATAAACAAATATGATAAACAATCTGTTTCATAGTGAACAAAAAGATTCAAACCCAAACCAATGTCATTGTGAAGAAAAAACTGTGTGAACTAGCCAATAGAATATTGCAGTATGCACTTGTGACCTGTGATATCAAATACCCAGAATGGCCCAATTAGACACTAATAAATAATTGTTTAAAGTTTTCACTATTAACATTTTACTCAGTACTACGTGAAGTCTTCAACATTTCTTGTCACATATAAATAAACTGCAATGCAGAGAATAAAAATACACTGATGGAAAAATTTAACGCACCACCCAATTTATTTAGTTTAAAATTAAATCCATTTTCTTTCTACATTTGTTACAGGTAATTAGGTGCTTTCGTGGTGAAAATAAACAGTAAATAATGCTTTGTTTACTTCCTTTATATACTTTTATACTAATTAATTTGCATAAAAAATAGCATTATGCCCTTCCATTCTTCTAGGCCTAAAGATCGCTTTCAGTTAATCTTTTTCCATTGTTTGATTTCATTTGATATTAAAGCTTTTTCGATGGCTTCAGTCTGGCATTTGAGTATGACAGTGTCAGATTCATAACATTATTATGTTAATGAAGGGTGTGCGAAGTCGTCAGGAGACTGAGTGTTCGTCAGTTTATAATAGAAAGAGTTTGAACAGTTTCACACTAGAAGGCCAGGACAGGGTCGACCTGGTATACAGACCAGAGAGTTGATAGATTCATTCATCATCAGGCTCTACAAAACTGCAGCATTACAGAAATGAGATAAGAAATCTGATATGACAAGTCCAAAATGTTTCGACTTCCTAAAGGATTGTAAGGAGAGGCTCAATGAAAATAACCTTAAGGCCCGGCACTAGGCTCGTGGACCTATTACCACAGCTCATAAAATGGCCAGGCTTCAATTCGCATGGGAATTTGTGAATTAGACATTATAAGACTGGAGACAAATTCTCTTTACAGTTGAGTTACATGGTTGGCCTCAAATCTTCGTATGGGCGTAATTTTATATGGAGACACTCAGGAGAAAGGTAAGCTCCATGGTGTATGGTTCATTAGCATTCCATGCTAAGTCACTGATGTTCTGGGGTGGCATTTCTTTGGACACGTGCACAGATTGGTTGTTGTGCGAGGAAGATCTCTAACATCACAGAGGTACTTACAAGCCATAATCAAAGAACATGTAGTGCCATTTGCTCCCACATCAGTGAGAAATCCTTGCTAATGCGAGGCCCCATAGAGGATGTATTGTGGTTGACTACCTAAATGAGATTGGAATTAAGTGCTTGGTGTGGCCTGCATTAAAGTACATTAAAATTTAAGGGTGGTGCATTTATTTTGTCCATCAGTGTACTATGTTGTGTTGGCATTTGAGTTGACCAGTTTTTGTAATGTGCCTCCTTGTCCCAGGCACTGCATTGAGAAACTTCTAATGAAATTGGCCAGGACAAAACACTAGCCAAATTTTATGAGATTGTGCGCTCTTAAAAGTACAACCTCAGTAGACAATCATTAAATTTGATAAATGTGTTTTCATTTTAAATTACATTGTCCTTCCTGTGTAATGAAAACAAGATTAGCACTGCTATATTCCAAATTTTATATTCAGGGGGCAAAATATAGCAAGAAATGAGTAGTTTTTATTATGTGTTAACACTGCTGACTGCCATTAGTGCAATGCATTGAGCCCTTGGCCAAATGTTTTCTTCAGCCAAGGATGTGCCTACTCTAGGACAAGGTTAACATTAATTCAGTAGAAATATGACGATATGATATATTTACACTATGTATAATATTTGCTTATGAGATACTGATCACTTTATCTACTTTTGTATGTAAGCTCAAATCTGCACATGCACGTGTGTACAGAGTTGTACCTACCATTTCTCACAGCTTGCCGACAATTCAAGCTTTTGTGTAATTTACAATAAATAACTGGCAAGCCTCGAGATTCACTCACCCTCACCTCTTGTCAGACCTAGGTCTTATCCGTACAGCTTCCGAGGTTGGACACTAGTGCTATCAATCTTTTCAGCCCCCCAATATAATCAGTCTCCAAATCTACTTAGGGAATAGTTATTGAAATTAGTTAATTCAATAATTTATACCAAGCCTTGCCTGTGATATAATATAATAAAAGAACAGTAAAGGTTGGGATGGTACTAAATCTCAATTTATTTTTTAAGTTTAGTAAAAATGCATTTATTAATTAAGCTTGTATCTTTTTGAAAATTGGGCTAAAGGTATTAATTTGAATGATGCATATAATTACTTTAATATAGAATGGTTATGCAAATATTCACACTTTTTATCCAGTAATTATAAATTAGTTGTCATTGTCCTGCGGGTAACAAATAATTCAACTAATTACTGTAGAATTTTATTTAATTACATTTTAATATTATCCTTCTGTACTGTACCTGTTTTTTAGTTTTATAGTGGAAATCAAGTTTATGGCTTTATTTAAACAATCCAATTTGTTAACAGAAGTATCATTTTAAACTCTGTCTAGTAAAATTAGTTGTTATCATTTAAAAATATGGTTCTTATGTGCAATATAATTTTACAGTATACAAGTTGCAACAAGAAGCACCGAAGCCGAATATGATTCCATGTGATTTAGATGTGCCTTCTAAGCCAGAACATTATGGAAAAGAATTCCATGGTGCTCTCAGTCATCAGCAGGCGGCACTGCTCCTCAAAGAGGAAGGAGACTACCTTGTCAGACTCAGTGGCATAGCTAATCCCATCTGCACACTCTCATTTAAGTAAGATTGAAATTGTGGAATTTTGATGTGATGAAGCTATATTCTGATGGCCCCTGATCTTCCTTGTCCTGGAGGTTTTTTCTGTGATGCATATAATTTTACACCAGGTAGATAAAAACTAGCAAGAATAGCAGACCAGTATAATCAGGGAAGGTCAGACCAAGAGTATATTTAAACAATATGAAATCAGATTATCAGTTACTAACATTAAAGTGTTTTAGATGTATGTATAATGATTTTATGTGTAATTTAATTGTTTTTATTAAATATATTATGCACTAAGGCTTTAGTTTCAAAAAATTTTATTTGAACTCTATTTGGCAAACAAAGGTCTTTTATCGAAAGATTGCTTTACATTAAAAAAAAATAAACCTTTTTTGGAAAAAAGTCTTATACAGTTGATCAAATGATCAAGTTGTCAGAAAACAAAGAAATAACAATAGCTGTAATTAATAAGGCCTATTATTATTTAGTCATACATCAGCTGATTAATATACCATCGACTGTCATCAAATATCAATTAGTGTAAATTGTTGGTGATAATATTGCAACAAAACATTAGTTTTTCTTTTTTAAAATTTAATTTTTGCTTTAAAAATGTACAAGGTAAACGTTAAATGGGGAAAGGAGATGTTTTCCGATGTAGAATTGAATACAAATGAAAGTCCGTATGTTTTCAAAGTAAAGCTGCAATCATTAAGTGGTGTTCCTCCTGAGAGACAAAAAGTTATATTGAAAGGCGTTACAGTTTCAAACGATTGGTCTAATGTTGAAGTCAAAGATGGAGTGACAGTCCTCCTGATGGGTACCAAGGCTGAAAACGTACCTTCTGAACCAGTAGTTAAGACCTGTTTCATCGAGGATATGACTGAAGATGAGATAGCCAAAGTTTCTGATCTGCCTGCGGGTTTAGCGAATTTAGGTAATACTTGTTATTTGAACGCGACGGTCCAGTGCCTAAAGACAGTGCCAGAACTGCGAGAAGCTCTCAGACTTTTTAAAGGGAAGTTTATGGAAGGAACTATCACTGCTGAGTCCGTAGTCGTGGCGATGAGAGATTTGTATGATGTTATGGACAATGAAGCGTTCATTCCGCCAGTTATGTTACTTCACGTCGTACACATTCTCTTTCCGAGGTTTGCAATAAAGAATGAACAGGGAGTGTTTATGCAACAAGATGCTAGCGAATGTTGGACTGAACTGATCAGAGTGCTGCAGCAGATAGTACCATCCATTAATAAGACTGGTTTTGAAACAAAACACAAGCATTTCATTGACCAGTATTTTGGTGGGGTCTTTGAAATTGAATACACTTGTACTGAATCCAGTGACGAGTCTCCAATAAAACGGGATGAGACATTTTTACATCTTAGTTGTTTCATTGCACAGGATGTTAAGTATATGATGTATGGCATCAAATCCCAGTTGGTGGAGAATATAACAAAAACGTCAGAAGTTTTAGGCAGAAATGCAGTCTTTTCCAAGTCTTCAAAAATAAAAAGGCTCCCTGCGTATTTAACGATCCAGTTCATCAGATTTTTTTACAAGGAAAAAGGATCCGTGAATGCCAAGATCCTGAAAGACGTCAAATTTCCTTTTGAGTTTGACGCCTTTGAATTGTGCACCCCTCAACTCAAAGCTCGGCTCACACCAATGAGGCAGAAATTTGAGGATTTTGAAAATTATAAATTTTCAGATTCCAATGCGAAGATGAGTGGAGAAAACTTAAAGACATTGCCATTTTCATTTGAAGACGATTTGGGAAGTAACAATTCAGGCTATTACACACTTCAGGCAGTTTTGACTCACATGGGTAGGTCTTCCAACAGTGGGCATTATGTAGCTTGGATCAGACATTCACAAAACAACACTTGGATTAAATGTGATGACAAAACAGTTACCCCAATTTCAGAAGAAGCGGTGTCAAAATTGTCAGGAGGTCACGGTGATTGGCACTGCGCCTATGTCTTGTTGTACGGTCCAAAAACTCTACAAGTCCCGCTTGATATGTTTTAGTCATCTTAGATCAATCTCCAGTACTAAATGAATAAAGAACCTATTTTTAAAATCTTAATAGCAGTTACTTTGCTTCAGCAATGTGGCCTGAGACAGTCTTAATAATAAAAATGTTTCTGCCATTGAAGTACATTTGTTTTCAATATTTTAAACATTATTTAGCTTTATAATAAACACCTGAGAGATGCAACAAATGAACCATCTGAATCGCCTAAGACTTTGGTTTCACATTTGTATTAACTATTATTTGATATTTGTTATTTTGTTTAGATATTTTCATTTAAATTAAACTGAATTTGCTTTTATTAATCTATTAGTGTATGTACTTAAGCATAATTTATTATGACAAAATTGTACTCTGTAACTTAAAACAAATGTAAACAACTGTAACTTAAAAAAAATGGAAGTTCAATAATAAAATCAAATTTTAAAACCTATTCAATTTTTGTTTCCGAATTGGAAATATTGAGTATTGTTTTAAATTGAATGATTATTTGTTATTATTATAGTTATTAATGAGAATTAACTATTTATAGCAAGTTAAATTGTTTTTTCTCTCACCAGTTCACTGTTTTAGGATATTGAATTTTATTTTTAGATTGAGAGGAAAAATAAGACATTACCGTTTATTTTATGATGGACAGCATTATGTAAAGGACAAGAAGTTCGACTGCATTGATGATCTCGTTGCTCATGGCCTTGTCACACTTCATTTAGAAGCAGAAGCTGGCACATACATCCAGTTGATGTGTGATGAGGCCAAGTATGAAAAAAGCCCTGCATACATGACCTTATCTAGATTTAAAAACAGAACAAAACCATTATTGACCACTCATCAAGAAGAAGAAACTGTATTGTATGACAAGCCGCACAAATTTAAAATTCACAATTTCAAAGGATTCAACTGGTGTGAGTTCTGTAGGAATTTCCTTTGGGGTTTAACTGCTCAAGGAGTGAAGTGTGACGGTACATTTATTCCTTATAGTTCAATCCACTCGGTTTGTACGACTTCCCTTTCTTTTAGATTGTGGGTTCTCTGCACATGTTAAATGTTCAGAAAAACTCCCGCCGGACTGTTGTCCAGAGCTGAAGTCCGTGCGGTCTGTTTTTGGAGTCGACTTGACTGCATTCGTCCGGTCTAGGAAAACAACAAGGCCATTTGTCGTTGAAAAATGTGTTCAAGAAATCGAGATCCGTGGCCTACATGTGGAAGGGTTATACAGGATATCTGGTTTTGCCGATGAAATGGATAATCTGAGAATGGCATTTGAAAGAGGTGATAATTCATTTATGAAATTATCTTTAAAAACGATAATTTAACCTATATTTTTAGATGGAGAAAATGCAGATATTTCTGCAAACGTTTATGATAACATTAACGTAGTAGCAGGGATATTGAAGCAATATTTTAGATTACTCCCAATTCCCCTGCTAACCTATGAGGTTCATCCTAAATTGATAAAAGCTGTTGGTGAGTATTGCAAAAAAATGTTGAATACATAATTAATAGTTTAATGTAATTTTCTATTTCTTTCAGAACTTCCCACATTAAAAGAACAAATTATAATGACTAAAGAAGCCCTTGCCCACTTACCACCTGCACACTACAACACACTTAAATATCTTATGGCACATTTATCAAAGTAAGTGCATAACTTTAATCATATGCTGTTATAAATATTTCAAACATGCAATTAATGTTTCTTACTTAGCAAATGGTAGTTATATTTATCAATAACTTTAAATTAAACAGAAAAATCAAAACACTTTTATTTATTTTTTTCAAATTGTTATTCAAATTCTCAAAGAAAAATTTTTTTTTTTTTTTTTTTGGCGTTATGAACTATGCATATTAGCCATGTGACAAATTTGGGGGGTTATTGGGAAAAAAGGGCCAGGGGCAACGGTGGGAATCGAACCCACGACCGCGGCGTGAGAGTCTCTCATGCTAACCACTCGGCTACCGCGGTCCCCCTCAAAGAAAATTCAAAGGATTAAATTATAGTTCAAACATTTAACTTTCATTGATTACAGAGTGGAAGAACATCAAGCTGCAAACAAGATGAGCTCATATAACTTGAGCACAGTCTTTGCCCCAACACTAATGCCACCATCTAGCTCTAAGATGGCCGGCTCAATCCCGGACATGACTGGTGAGATAAACTCGCTCAATCTTCTCATCCATCATCAGAAACTGATATTTCAATCTGCAATTCTTTACTAGTGTTTCTTTACTCTATCCCCCCATCTAAATCTGTATGATAGCAGAGTTTTAGTGACGACTTAGAATGGGATTTCATGCCTCTTGTTAAATTCAGACAAAATTTTTGCAATGTTGTGAAAATGTTAAAACTTTGGAATTGTTTAGTGATTGATTACAAATTTATTGTTCCTGACTATTTAGAATCTTTTGTTAAGAGGCCTGGATATCCTATAAAGAAGTGAAGAAACTATTTATAAGAATTGAGTTAAACTTTCCATTCTTCTATATTATTTATTTATTTTTTTGTTATTGTAAATATTAAGTAATGTATATTTTTATTTGTTAATTACTATTCATTGCCGTTTTTTTGCTCATTTCATAATTCAATTTTAAAAAATCTACTATACTATGATTTATAATTTGAAATAAGTTTTAGAACATGTTGCATTTAAATGTAATAATTGCACAATAGTTTCTTTTGTTTAATAGAAAACAATTATATCTACTTCTTCTATTTTTAAATTATCAAAAACTGTGAATATTCAATCCAGGCAATATAAAAATTATAAACCTAATACATAAATAATTAGGTCTGTGAGGCATTTTCCTATTTACCTGAATAAATAATATAATTAGTTTAAATAAATTCTCTCTATGTTGTAACTTACATTTTCTAATCTTAAAGACTATTTATTATCGGTAATTAAAATTGAGAGTGTATAATCTGCAATAATAGTTTCAAACATTTTAACCCTCAGCTGGTAATGATTGATTATTTACAATTTTTTGTTGTAATATTATGTTGTGTACATTATTGTGAATATGTTTGTAATTCTAGATCTCAGAAGGGGCCTTTTGAGAATTATCGTTTCTATTTAATGTACAACTTTCTTTTAGTAGTACATTCAGTGTTAATATGCATTCCTTTTTTAATAAGATAAAAAAGTTTGTTTTAAAAAAGTCTTAATAACTTAATGAGTTTTTCATAACTTTACTCAACAATGAATTAAAAATCTATCTTGATCTTAATCTTATAAATTGTTTTTAAATATAAATGGGTTTGTAAAACACACTAATTAAAGTAAAACATTAATCTTTCTCAAATACTTTAAGGGTGTTATGGGACAAATAAATTGAAACAATTGACTTAATTTATATTTAATTTAATGTATGTTATCTTCTTGTATTTACATGAAATAATACAATTTTATAAAAATATCTTCTCACTTTACCAATGAATTATACATGTATGAATTTTTCACAATTGGCCTTATAATTGTACCAAACTATATTTTTAAAAAATGCAAGTATTTTAAATGCGAAATAAACATTTTTATATTATATATATTTTTTTAAATTAATAAACCCATAACAAATAGTGTCTTATATGAAAAACTATTCAGAAATCATGGTGTACACCAGACCACATCTCATGATTTCTGAATAATTATCAATTAACGGTCACTAATCACCATACATATATGAAAAGCATTTTAGTGTTTGTTTTGAGTCATGAGTTACTAGTTTTATTTTAGTTTTTATGTTCAGGGATGAATGTTTAATATTCCTATAAGGCAGCAGTCATGAAACCCCCAAACCTTCCTTCATTATTGTTTTCCCCATTCATTATGGGTTTTTTATTTCGTAATTACCGATCATTTTGGTTTACCTATTGCTTGCTTGTTGGTCTGTCAAATACATTTCACCATCTTCAGCCTATGCATGTGAAGTTATGAAGGGTGAGGAGTTTTCTTAGTGCCTTTGATGGATTAAATATGTGTTTTTTATTGCTTTGGTTTGTGTTATGCATTTTTAAAAATTAATAATGTTTTGAATGGTGTAAATGATGTTTGCAAACAATTGTTAATTTGTGTGCATGTGAGTTTAATTACCTGTTTTCAAATAAATAGCGTAACAACAATTTAATTAATAAAAAGTTAATAATTTTATAGAAATATAATGGTTAGTTTTAAGTAAATAAATATCAAACAAGGTCAACTACGCTGGTTTTCTAAGACAAAAGCAATTAATGATACTGATATAGCCAATATTAAGAGTACTATGGAAAAATTATGTTTCAAAATTACAATGAACTGTTTAATGTTTTATTTTCTATTTGTTTATGACTAACTGTTATTAAATTCTTAACTTTTTCATAATCCACACTTTTAGATTTAAAAAAAATTGTACATTGTTTTCTTTTTACTTTGCCAATTATTGCAAGAAAATTTAAAAGTTCTAGGATAACTTAGCACAATATAAGTCAATTTGTGAACATTTCTCAGCCAAAAACAGTCTACAATATTTTTTTGTCAAAAACTGTGTTAAGGAATTTGTTTAGGTTCATGCGAACGGAAAGAAATTGGTTCCAGTGTGTACACACTGTTTAGTTCATTGCACACCATGGCTTGCAATCTAAAAAGTCAGTATGATGTATGTTTGATAAATTATTCCATTGCAGGCTTGGCATATTCGTCTTCGTATATACACCTCTGTACAATTAATTACATCATAATAATTTTACAACAGTTAAAACCTCTGCATTCAGCAGAAGCAATGGAGTAATAAAATATACTGCTAAGTCTGCATTAATCTAGTTTTTTAAACTTTTACTACAATATAATATTTTGACCTTTTTGACATATTAATTATCTAAGTTTATACATTTGTAGGAAGATGAGATTCTAATGATCTAACTGATCTTAATTATTAGTAAGCCATACAGGAGGGCTTAACGTCCAACTTCAGATTGGGTATCGCAGATGAGGGGTCAATCCATTTTTCAAACTGTTATCAATTAAAGTCATGGGCTCTGCCAATATTTCAACCCAGAACCGCTAGTAATGTGCAAATAAGAGAAGGTGCCCTAACCATCGGCTATCCCCCATATGTACATGTTAAAATAAAAAATAATCCTCAAGAAAGAAACTATGTATTAATTAAGTTTTTAATGCATAGATAAGGATGTTGGTTGATTGAAGATATTAAAGTACTTGTTTTTTATTTTATTTTAAATGCCTTAAGGTCCATTCCACTTCCTCAGTTATATCTTAGTTACGAATGACATTTAATTTATTAACTTCTTTTCACTGTTTTAATTTTTTTCCATTGTTTGGGATGGATGACACAGATACACAACCTCCTACATTTTCAATTAAATTTGGGCATTTGTCTTTGAATTTAAAATTTTTAAAATAAATAAGTTTTGAAAATAACGTTCTTAAATCTGTCTATTATTGCTATTTGGCTTTAATGCCTGAATTTATTTATTTTGCATAGGTCTTTTTACAAGTACTTACTGTATGTTTTATTTCTTTTTTTAGAAGGTCTGATAATAATTAATGATAAGGCAAGATAAAAGTGAATAGCGTAAAACCCCAAAATCTATTTTTGATGCTTATTTATTTGGAGTGATAAATTGATTCTCATTATTATTAATATTATATTTTATTCTTTATTAATACTTACTATTTTATTAATTTTTATTTTATCTGCTTTATTTTAATGTATTCATCACTGCTCAGCATTATTAAAATATTTCCTAATTTGCAGTAATGTAATACCTAATTAAAACAAACTATGCAATAAAAAAGAAAGTGTTAAATTATTTATCCTCTCACCACATTTCATATATTACAGTTAACATAAATTTATTTTATTGGAAGAATATAAATATGAATATTTTGTTTATTGAAATAACTTATGTACAATAATTGTAAAAAACACAAAAAATAATTTTATAGTTTTACACAAAAACGAAGCAACAATCATCAAAATAAAATATTAAAAGAAATTATTAAATTAATTCATTTTCATATGTATAAAAATTAATTATACTGATTCTTCTTCTACAGCGTCTTCCACAACGGTATCTTTGCTTTCTTCACCTTTTTCCTCTTTCATGGTTTTGCTGCAAGTTTTGCTTTCGTCTTGTTTGTAATTGGATTTCGTGTCTTGGTTGTCACACTTTGTCAATACTTCTTCCTGTTGGGCCAGTACTTTTTCTTCATCTTTTCGGGCCACTTTCTCTTGTTTGGTCTCTGAGGATTTTTTTGATTTCTTAGTTGGCTCATTTTCAACAACGACTTCTTCGACCACTTCTCTCTTAACTTTCTTTTCCTTTGTCTTTTCTATTTTGTGTTTCTTTGCTGCTTTTTCAGGTTTCGCCTCTGGAACACTCTCCTCTAAGACTTTGGCCTCTTCTTTTTTCTTCTGGGTTAATGTTTCTTCATGTTTCTTCCCCTTCTTGTATTTGTTTTTCTCTTTTAGATTTTTTTCTTTGTTTTGCTTTTCTTCATTCCTGTCAAAAAATAAATAAATATTAGCATAAAAAAAACTAAATATGACCGTTTAGTGACTTTTTCAAGGTAATATTTATCAGTAAAATAAACTCCTAGAATAAAATGATAAGAAACTCCTAGTTTGATTTATAAATCAAATACAAGCTTATCATGAAATGTAAACAAATGTAATAATTCATTTTTTATAAGCAACCCATAAAATATAATTTCATAACTGTTACAGTTTACGTTAGTGTAAATAAAATTTTTTTTTACCATTTTTGATCTTTTTGCTTCCCATCTCGAACTTTGTATTTGTCTTGTTTTTTGGTCTTTTTTCCATCGGCTGCATCCAAAATGAAAGCAATAGTAATTAACAATACGGCAGCCAAAGCCAGTCTTCTGTACCTAAAATGAAATTATATGTTAAATATAAAATACAATAAATTTGACTTTAAATTAATCATTAATCAGGTATCAGTATTAGAAGGATCGATCACTTTTTCACTCACAAACACTCTGGATCAAGGTATGGTCTTGAAGAAAAAAGCAAATTCAAGCTTTCGACCTATTTTAAGGTCATCATCAGGGAAAAACTTAAATATGTCTATAGATCAAAAACTTGGCAGTAGCAACTAAATTTGCTTTCTTCTTCAAGATCATGCCTTGATCATAAATTATTTGTGATTAATTAGTTAGTCCTTCAGAGGTTCTCCATTGGGGTAACGAAGTTACATGTTAATTAGGTATATTACCTAATGTATCCATTTAACTGTGCAAAACTGTACTATTTGTTGAATAAAACATTTTATTTTATATATTCAAAAAACATTAATAATAAACATATCAATCAAATTAAAATTAAAATAACATTATTTCATAAAAATACAGTTAGTAAAAGAACTGTTATTTTTATTTAATAATTACAACTGCTGTCTACAACAAATACAGACAATCAAAAGTTATCTTTGTTTAATATTTTTAGCAGATATTAGCTTATGAAAAATATTGCTTGTAATAATTGGAAAAATAAAATAGGTAAAACTATTTTAAAAAATTTAAAGCATAAATCTGTACAAAAGTGTAAGAATGAAAAATTAGATAAACATAACAATGTTATAAATCATTATTTTGTTACAAATTCTGAAAGTTATTGTCTGTTTATTAAAAAAAATCATTTTTACTAATTAAAAAATATTAAAATATTCAACACATCATTAAATAATTATAGTTTGCTTACCCACTCATGATGTTGCTGTTTTTCTTTACAAAGGATTGTGCTCTTTCTCTACCTGTTGTTCACAAAGGATTAAAATCAAATGGTGTTATCAAACGGCTCCCAAACAATTTATATTGCCTGTCTCCTTGCGTTTCATTCAGCCAATCCATGAAATACACGACTACTTTAGATAAAGTAACATTAAGAGATTAAATTTTAATTTACTATTTACGTGAATTGTCTCGAGTACTTCTGATTTTTTAAACTTGTGTAACTGACGTAAAGATCATTTTTTTTACCATTTTATTAATTTTTTGTTAATATTAAAAAAATATATACGTCATTTGACTGACGTATGTGAAGGATCTTCAAAATAAAGTACAAGAAGTTGGATGTTAAGTCCTCATTAAAAATTACTTTTATTTCTCTGACATTTTCAGTAGATACATAATTATAGTACAGCAAATAAATGTACTTCACAATTTACATTAAAACAGAAAATCACAAATTATAACTGGAAATATTTAGGTATTATTTTGTTAGAACATTTGTAGATGGGCTAAACTGAAAATGGCCATGAATTAATTTTTAAAATCTATGACAAAAATAACTATTTTCACAAAAGCTTTTAAATTTTTTAATTAAATAAAGTGAGTATAAACGTATGTATTCTGAAATGAAGTTAATGGTGGGTGTTGGTCTGCAAATCAGTTAACAAATGTTGAAGAAAATAATTAATAATACCATCTTTATTTCTGATGGATACAAATTAATACAAGATTTACAGGATTTTTAATTAATTCTTCCTTCCTCCTCTTTCTTTCAGCTGAAGTTGGATGACAGTATTGGGCCCGATGTTATAATACGCGAGTGAATTTGAGTCCTTGTAAAACATTCCCTGTACAAAAACAAAATAAAAATAAGAAGATAGAAAATAAATAATAACAATAAAAATTAACAATATATATAATAATATTGGGGAGGATTGGCTGAGAAGTTCTTAAGTAACAAACTTACAAGTGGTTGGAGAATTTGGGTCAGAGAACAGGAATTAGTAAGCGTAATATTAGCATGACCTAGTGTAAATATTATGACTTGTTTCTTTGCATCTGCCTTCAGAATATTTAAACAATAATTCATGCACTTTATTTTTGTGAATTGGTTGTGTCTAACCTATAAATTGGCCACTATCAATCATTTTCGATTTAATACTGAAGATAGTGAAATGCCAAAATGCGTCTGGCAGATAAAATTAGCAAGGATTGGCAGAGCACATCAGTTGTCGATCAAGTTGTCTGTCAGTCATTATCAGAAATGACCAAATTACTTTCTCTTTCTTTCTTTTATTATTTTGTTCTTTTTTTGACCTTTCTGCTTCTCAAAAGCAATTTTTCTCAGTACATATTTCATAATAATTATTTCAAATTGCTAAATTAGAATACACTATTAGAATAGTGTTTAAATTATTAAGTAGTATAAAAAAGTAAGTATGTAAACACTTTGTTTTGAAAATAAACATTAATAAATTGATTAGATTTCGTGGTCCGACTGACCAAATAATATCTTTCAATAAATAATCTTTATAAGGTATTGGTTGGGATAAAAAAGTCAGTGTCACAAGTGGGATTTGAACCCACGACCTTTGGCTATATACGCCGCTGCTCTACCACTTGAAGTAGTAGTAGTCACTTCGATCCACTCGGATTTTTTTATCTCAACCAATACCTTACATAAAGATTAATTAATAAATTGATTAATTTCCCAATTAGTATTTTTAAAATATTAAAATTGATTAAACATACATTTATTTTTATGATATAATCACCTTAATTAATGGCAGTCATGTTGATTTTTATATTATTTTCTTTTGTTTAACTTTTTTTTTTACTAATTTGCGCATGAATATTTTTTATTTTTTTAACGCGTGTTGTTAGTATAAACCAGCCTAAGGTATTACCTCCAATGTAAAAGCTAATTTAAGCACAATAGGCATAAATGTTTTAAGAAAAAGGGGCATTTTTAAGTTTTCATTAGGAAATGTAAAAGCAAAATTATTAATTGTTTTAAGTATGTAAATATATCATCACGACTGCATAGTGTGCATAGGGTGATGGCATACAGAGTATATTGGGTATGATTGTTTAGTTTGGAAACTAATCAAAAGTAGTTGCATGTGTTGGGAACTTAATGACCTAATTGTAAAGCCTTTGGAAGACAGAAAAGACTAACACCAAACCCCCTCTAACTACCAACTTTTACCAGAGTAGGTAATTATTATGTCTTATTATGCTATTCCAGTAAAACTAATTAAATTTAAAACTCACATCACAGTGAAGTTTCTGTTTTGAAGGAGGCATCCCAACGGCTTCTTGGATTTTTGCTTTCAGAGCAGAAACTGTTTCAGTCAACATCATTGTTAAGCTGAGACTCTGGCCATTAAGCTTCCATTCGGACTTTTCTGACATCATGGGTACCATTACTTTGAAAACAACAGGACCCTAAAAAAAAAAAAAAAAAAAAAAAAAAAAAAAAAAAAAAAAAAAAAAAAAAAAAAAAAAAAAAAAAAAAAAATACAATTAATAATCAAGCTTAATAACATGAGTAAAATATGTAATACTTTGTTTTGTTGGAGATACTGTTCTTCTGGAATAAGGGAATCTTCTGTTTTTTGTTTTTTAGTCAGTGGCTCTTCGTCATTCATATCAGATGTGACATGTTTCAACATTCCACCCATCTAGAATATAAAGTATTAATTACTGAACTGAATTAACTAACAGTTTATCAATAATATTTAATCAAATTTAACAAACCTGAGGTTGTGGAGGTAGAGGTGCCGTTCCTGGTGGTGCAATAAAGCCTGAAGGAGTAGCAGCAACAACTGGAAACGCTCCTCCGGGAACTGAAAATTAAAATAATGAACATCGCAATATCAGACTTAGCAAGGTCTACAACTTACCCATCAAAGGAGGCCTGATGGGTGCAGGAACCATCATGATATGAGCCTGCGGTGGTGGGAGCATACCAGGAGGAGGTGGCAATGGGGCCTGTACTTGTGGTGGCGGCAATGGAGGAGCAACTTGGGTTTTTGGAGGTGGAAGTGGAGGTTGTATCACTCCTCCAGCCCTTGTAACAGGTTTTGGACCAATTTTTTCTTTCTCCTCATCTGGCAGGAGACCCTTGACCTTATGTATCTGATGGATTTGCTCCTCAATTGTGATGTTTGCTCGTGCAGCTCTTGTAGCAGCTTCAACACTTGAAGTGTGTCCATCCCATGTAACCTATAATAGCATGTTATATATAAATAAAAACTTATTTTTTTTTAAAAAGGAAAAGTCGAAAGAAGATATAGTACACTTTCATTTAATATATAAGGACCAGAGGTTTCAAATTTGGTATTTAGTAGGTTAGTAAAAAAAAACCTTTGTAAATGATTTTTTTAAAATAAAATAAAATACCTTGTCATCCTTCTTTTTGTCTTCTTCGCCAATCTTTTTACCAATTGCTGTTTCTTCATCCCCAACTCCAAAGATATCAGTACGGCGTTCAGCCAATTGTTTTAAACTTGCCTCAATTGCTGACCCTGAAATTCATATATAGAGAAATAAGTATAAATATTTGTCATTTTATATTTATGCAATGCAAACCTCCAGCATAAACTGTGTCTTGGTTAATCCTGTCCTGAATGTGCTTATCCCTTTGTTCCACCCAGCGAGGATCCAGAAGTCCGATCCTCATATGTTCTTGTACTTTGCTTGCCGGAATCTTTTCACTCGTCAAAGGAGATATCAAATAATTATCTCCAGTCTTAAGAGTTTTAGCTAAAACAATCAACACATTAGTAATATAATAAAAAAATATATATTTATATATTATTTGTTACCTTGCTTTGGATTGTATCCTTTCTTGACAATCACTTTATCAGGAATAGGAGGAAGAGGAGGCTGCATGGGTTTCTTTGGTTCAGATTTAGCATCAGGTTTCGAAGATCCCTTGTCACCATCCTCAGTTTCGCTTTCGCTTGAAGATTCTTCTTCCATGTCTTGCACCTTAAATAATTTATTTCTTTACAAATGTCTTAAAGTAATAGATGATTATGATTACTTGTGTATTATCCGTAGCCCCCTTTTCAGCGTTAGATGATGTTGGAGGTCCTGAGTTATCTTCTGCATCACTGTCATCCTTATCCCTATCACCGTCACTTTCAATTTGCATGTGACCATCCTCAGTTGTATCCAGAAATCGTTCCTAAAATAAGTGCAAAAAAGAGATCATTTCTTCTAAATTTACCAACAATAATAATTACATAAACACAATTTAAAAATAGTTACTATATTTTGAGTGATTTGCACTCTTTGATTTATTTTTAATTATAAAACAATTTGCTTTAAAAACAAAATTTATCTAGATAATTCTAATATCGCTTTACTTATTTTTTAACTTCATACAATTCATAAAATTAGAATAATATATTTAGACAATTTTTTAATCTGAAATATATATAGATTTTTATAACAGTCTATTAGAGACCAACCCCAACTTCCACGTAGTGCCTCCTGGGAAACATTTCGATGTCGCCTGCACCCCTCAAGGGCCAGCGCAACGAGGCAGGCTAAAAGGGGATATGGCCACCCTAATCCTAAGTTGTTGTGTGATCCGTGGCGAAGGATGAATGGCGCTGGGGTGAAAAACAATAGTGTCTCAAACGGAGCCCTCAGGGAAATGCATAGAGGAAGTCAGCGACACTAATGACCTGACCCTGGCATGGATCCCTGGACATTCGGGGCTTAGAAGCAACGAAAAGGTTGATATGCTGGTCAAAAAGGGCGCCAACTTGGGCTGTATGGGCCCAGAACCCTACTGTGGTCTACATCTTAAAATGGATCCTTAATGAGTCCAAAACCTGGTATGAGGCACGCGAAGAGATTCATAGAAGGACCATCCGCAAAACTTACAAAAGAATTACTGGAAGGCAACCGCAACCGAACCAGGATTCTGGTTGGACTCCTGACAGGACATTGCCACTTAAGAAAGCATATGCACCAGATAGTACAAAAAGAAGAAACACTGTGCAGATATTGCCAGGAAGAGAAGGAGACCACAGAACACATTTTATGTTTCTAGGTATATGTAGGTGCAGAGTCTTGCAACTAGGACAAGAAAAACCACAAGCAAGATCCTACACCAAGGAACCACTGGCAAAGCTGTGGAGGCTGGTTAATAGTCTGAAGCTGGCCAGTGAGTTATAATTAACAGAGAAGCACAATAGATCTTTTTAGGTCGAGGTGCAGTAGGCCTTGTGGCCGCCTCTATTATCCCTATCCCTAACAGTCTATTAATTTTATTATATTAACTATTTACCTGCATCAACACCCTCGCACCAACTTCATCTGGTGTAGTAGGTGGTGGAAAATTACCAAGTTCTCCAGGTATGTAGTCAACAGTTTCGACAACAACAAAATCATGCCAATCAATCTGTGCATATGCAACTGTAAAAATAACATCAAATAAAATCTAAATAAATAAACAGAGGTTATAAAACATATACCTCTTTCCTTCTCTAAGGCTTGTTCTTCTTTTCTTTTTTGAATTTCTTGATAGCGCAACCAATCTGCTCTGTAGCGGACCTGATCCAAGACTCCTGTTACACTAACACATTCCTCTTTTAGTTTTAACATCATATCCTTAGGTGGGATCAAGACCTAAAAATACAATAAATTAGAGAAAATTTGAATACATATACAACTCACAGCACTATTACCTTAGTGTACTGCATCAAGAGTTTAGTAAAGTACTGAAAAAGAGAATGCTGTGGCCTTAGGAAATCAAACTGGTAGTTCTTCTGTTCTCTGTTCATCAGATTTGTTAAAAACTGCCTTTCATTTCTTGCCACAAACTGTGCAGTCAATTTGACTATGTCCCTTTAACAATTACAATAATACATAATTAACATAATTTTCTTTTTAACTTGTTTATACTCACAAATCTAAAGCAGAGATTGATGGAGGGTCAGCCATAAATTCAAAATCCTGAGGAGGATCTTTTGGCACAAAGGGTTCTGCAATTTGTTTTAAAATTTCCTGCTGTTTAAGCTGAGTCGCAGAAGCGACAGTTTTCTGTGCTACAACCGGTGTGACAACAGCAACTTGTGGCTCATTCCCTACAATTACAAATTTAAACAGCATTAAAAGGCAAATTATTAACTACAAATATATAATACCTTTGCCTTCTTTGAAATCTTTGACTTTGTGCTGGTAATAAGCATGATAAGGGTCACCACTGTTGAGAAAATTGAACTTGGGGTTTCCCAATTCATTCTGCCTGATCCTAGATTCAAACTCTGGGCCATTACGAGCAACAAAGCTGGCAGTTTTATCAACAATATCTAGTAATCAATTTGTTAAAAAAATATAATATATATTATACTGATTTATTTATTATTTATTTAAATTTTATTATTTGGGGGTGTGGCAATGATTATGACAATTTTGATTTCTCAGCACTTAAAGGAAACTTCGGGTTTGAATGCAGGGCTGCTGGATTCGAACCCTGGATCTTTATTTCACAGTTATCAGTGCTGTGTCAATGCCTCAATCATTGTGGCCACTGATGTCCCTTGAAGAAATGCTGTCTAGGAATCTGAAAAAAGGGTAGGACAAACCAAGCCACAATATACAATTTTATATTTTTTATGTAACCTTAGGTATTTATCAAAGTTTAAGCATTGAGCACCTTAAACATAAAAATAATACGTATGCCAGCAGATCTTATTGCTGTATATGAGAAAACAAACTGTGGATCAGTGGGCTCTCAAGAGACTTTGAATTAAGTTAGGGACCCAGACGAGAGTCGCCTCAAGATGATGATGAAAAAGGTGGATCAGAGTAACCCAGGATGGGCTTTAATGAACCAAAGCACTCAAAATTTGGCATGTGCATATGATATGATTATTGATGATATGATATGATTATGATATTGACACGATTGCCTGGAATTGAAGAGAGCATGAGGAAGGTTTGTCAAGCTTGAAGCAGAAATGTTGGGTTTGGTCCATTAACTGCACCAAGACGATGTATACATTTCACAAGAGGTCAGAGGCAAGTCAATTCTGATTTCATTGCACTAAACAGCGAGGATGAATGTTGTAAGACCTTAAAATATCCGGGTACCCAGCTTACCGATGATAACAGTAGGAAGAAGAAATCCGGGCAAGAGTTGCCAGATGCTACTTTGCCTTGAGGATGGTCTTCAGGTCCTAATATGAAGTTGAGTCTATTGAACGATAGTGAGGCCACCGGTACTTGATGGCTCTGAAACATGGACCATGGCAAGTACCAATGAAGATTCTTTGAGGTGTTTCAAAATCACAATGAAACCTTGAGTAAGACTGATCCATTCTTCTGCTAATTATAGATAAATCAGTTAAAGTTTTTTCCATTTAAAGTTATAAAATCTCATATTTAGCGAAAATACCAAAAAGCGAAATCTTCATGTGGAAGCTTTATGACAGCCTTCTGTTCAATTTTTTTTTTCTCTTTTTATGCGAAGGGAGGCAACTAGTCCACATGTAGTAGTTTTTTATCCCCTAATATTGAGAAAGGGCACAATTTGAAAAGGAAAAAGTATATTGTCATAATGAAAATTAAAAGATGTATGAGGTTCAGCCACGATTAAACCTCGAGTCAGAATGATCTGTTCTTCTGTTCCCTCGACTCTCGTTTCTTTTGCTGGCACTGTCATTCCTGTAGTACTTTAGGCATGATAAGCCAGCATAACAACACTCAATTCTAACAGTACAAACTAGAAGTGAAAGTTTTGTACAAGAAATCAGATATTGTGACTGAACTAAAAGCGAGCCACCTCAGGAAGGATGCAGAAAGCAGGGCTGTAAGGAAATGTGTGGTGATTAGTGGCCATTAGTTGATGATTATTCAGAAAAATGTTTTTCTGAAACCTACATCACACCAGGCTGTAAAGAAAGTTTACTCAGGTAAGATAGGTAGGTGTTAGACAGCTGCGAGGAAGACCTAGAAAAAGATAGTTGGAATATATCGAGGACAAACTAAAAAAGATAAGGATTATGAGATTCACAGAGGATAAAAGAGAATGAGCGAGCATTGTAGTAGGCCAGGGCCCTTCAATGGTTGTAGCACCGAGGAGTATGAATGAACTTGAGTATGAAATTAAATTGTGTATGAAAATACAATTTTAGAATGAAAAAAAATTCTTTCTTAGCATTAAATAATGACAAATGATTGACGAAGTGAATCTAGAGATTATGTTCAAATGTTGAAGACGACTTTCATAAACAATATACACATTAAGTCCTCTTTTTTGCTTTTCCAAGTTGCTTCATTATTATACAACTAATAATACATTTTTTACCAATCGAAATAACTTTTTAATGGTGTAATGTTTTAAAGGATACTTCTAACCTCAGGCGGTGGGTAAATGATACCAACGAGGGGTTTCGAAGCCGGCGGAGCGTTTTCCGTCCCTTCTTTTGGGAGGTGGCTCACATCGATCGAAGGCATTTTTTACTTTGTCAATTATTTAATCAACTGCATTCAGTAAAATAGTTCCAATTAAGCTAAATAAATAATTAAACTTTTCGTACAAGAAACGTTCCCTATTGTTTACAAACCGAGAAGGTTACTAAGTGTTAAGGTTCTCAATTCTGCTGACTTGAAGGCGAGTAAAATTTGCATCTTGATAAATTTATCTTTCTTTAATTTAAAATAACCTTTGGTTTACAATTTTTTTAAATGCTTATTTATGGTGGTTAGAATTGTATGCTAGAGTAAAAAATCTTTCATTGCATCTTTTGGCACCTTAGAGATATATCAAGTCGCCATAGGCTATTTTCTACAAGAAAATCGAAGGTACTTCTTATAGTATTTTTACTTCTTCTTTTCTCATCGTCGGAAAGAATTAAAGAAAAAACTCTTCAAAGATGTTGCCGGGTATGACATTTTCCAGTCTTCGCAAACACACTGCGGTAAGTGGAAATCGCTATGCTCGATAGAAATCCCGTGAAAATCAACTTCTTCCTTCTTAAAATTGTTCATTCTGTGATGAAATAATCCAATTTTCTTTTATGTGGTGCAGCTCATCCCTCTTTTTGCATGTATTATCGTCGGAAGTATCGGCTCGGTGGGCTACCTGATGAGGCTGGCCTTGAAAAATCCCGAAGTGGCCTGGAACAAGAGAGGTGACCAAGAGCCCTGGAACGAATATGAAAACAAGCAGTACAAGGTAAGAGCAAAATTGTTTTTTTTAAAATCATTTATTTGGATGTGTGTTACAAATTGTAACATTTTATCAGTCAGTTGCAAACACCACAGCAGCCAGATCTCTCGCTTTATGTTCCAACGTAGTCATATAAAAAAGCCATATTGTGGAACATATGATACTGCACTTCTAAAGCTGTACCATGGCTGTTGTAGGTATCACAGTTCATCATATATCACACTACATTTTTCCACAGCTCTTCCAAGTCATCCCTGGAAATATCTGCTTGTAACCATCATATTTAACGATCATCAGGCCATACCAAGAAGCCCTTGCATTGATATGAACAATCTTAATAAATGACTGAAAAAGATTATATGCTTCACACAACATATCCATGTAGTCCACAGCTGTTAACAAACCCTCTATAAAGGGAAAAAACCTCTAAGCTCACAACTAGATCACCTTTAGTCATTTGCTCTTGTGCATTCTCCAGAGGCTAAAGTTTTCAGGACTATATCATATTTCCTACATGACTACATACTCTTGATCATGCAAAGTCCTCCAGTTCTCTAGCCAATAAAACCATTATTTATCCCCATTCACCAACTACAACAATTTTTGTTTTAACTTTTAAGAATTGAACTTAATGAAAAAGTTGACCTTCCTGTTGAAAATGTCATTTACTAATCAATCATTATCTTGCCTTCTAACATGTTCCACTTAGCATTATGGTTTTATAATGCAACTGTATATTCTTTGAAGTAAATTCAACTTTGTCCCCAAAATACAACAATAATTAAATTTTTTTGACAACTCGTATTTCCCATTATAATAAGTATCATAGGAAGGCTTAAGGCCCAACTACATATTGGGTGTCAAAACCTCATTACAATATTAGGATAGAGGATTGGGAAAGGCACGTGTGCAAGCTCTTCGAAAGTAGGACATCCCCAATGAGATTTAGATGTGGTGGAATGGTTTACAGAGAAAGGAATGTCGGAGTAGTTTGATTGAGAGGCCACATGGTGAAATGAAGGGGGAGAAAAGAGTGGTTCATAGTAAAAGAGGAGGGAAGTGTATGGGAGGTCTTCACTACGGAGATGTATCCTTCCTGAATTCACGTCAGCCCCTTCAATAAATGCTGTGAGTCCAACTAGGGCCCACAAAGGTAAAAACCACGAGTATGAGATAATGTGTCACAAGGCTTGGAGAGCGGGAGAGCCCCCGAACAAGATACTATCATTAGGTTAACAAATTTTGCAGTTAATCTACTTTATATTTGTTTCTTGAATCAGTACGATATTATCATAATATTAGTTATTAAATTTAATATTAGTTAATAAATCTATATATAAGATGAATGCACGTGTGTGTGTGTGCGTGTGTATGTGTTGCAATAAAGCCTCAAGTAAGAATGATCCATTAGCTCCAACTTGCTTGTTTCTTTTGCTGGCTTTTTCATTCTAGGTGTGCTGCTGAAACGATGCTAAGCCAGCGTAATAACAATGACTATATCTTTTCTGTATATTTTTTTTCCAAAGTCCAGAGAAATGAAATGATTGTGATTTTTTTATGTTTTAGTTCTACTCAGCTTCAAACTTTGACTACAAAAACTACAAATCTCCAGCCCCAGAATATTAGAAGATGAGAAGAATAAATAAATTGTAGATATTTACTTCTAAAATTGATTGGAAATAAATTGTAAATTAATATTTGTTGTAATATTTCCGATATATCCATTTTGTGCTTTTTACCTATCTTGTTCTGCAGTTTTGTGTATTGAAAATTAAATAAAGAGCTACCTAACTGACAGATTAATCTTTTATTTACGTATATTTATATGTTAAAAAAGTTCTATGAACTGTCAAGTTAAATTAATTAGCCAAGAATTTTTTTCTTTATTAGTGCTAACGTGATTAATTCAATAAAATAATTATTACTAATGTTAAACATAAGCATCAATTTTAATTATGGCTTATTGATCTGTGTCACACACTGCATTCTGTTTTGTCATAGCAACGATGAGCAATACAGTGATTACTTTTTCAAGGCTGAAAGTTCGGCAATTCGTATTTTACTAGTTAAATTTCTCACGTTGTGTTCATCATGGTAAGTTAGTGTACAAGACAATTCATACTTTACTGCTGAGATTAATCTAAAATAATATTTCATGTTAAATCGAATGTTTATATTGTGTTTACATACCAGTGATAAATAACATTAATTTTATATGAAGGAGACATTAGGTTTAAATGAGCAACATCAAGGGATAGTAAAAGGATACATGAAATTTGCCAAATACCAAAGGAGCCAAAACTTAAAGTTTATCGAGATGTTGTTTCAAGATGTAGAAATGGCACGGTACTAAATATTACCTTGATTTTTTTCTAAATATCATTTTACTTGAATCAAAGTTTTATGTTGAAAAGGCTTAATGAATCTACATTCACCAAAGATGAAGTACAAGAAATTTTGGACAATCTCAAGGAATTGGTCACAGGTGAAGTGGTTGCAGAGTTGATAGATTTTTCACACACAAACATACTTTTGTTTGCTCAGCTTTTAACCCAGGCAGAAAAATGGCATTTGCACATGACAGTGGATTTATCAGAAATCCAAAATAGGTATAGATCAAGTTTCATTTAGTTAGAAAGAAATAATTAAAACTTCATATAAAAAAAAGAGAACTGTTGGATAAAGTGAAGATAATGGAAGAAGCTGATGGAAAAGCTCAACCAAACCCACATAGACTACAGCCACTTACAGACCAATCAGGATCAACTGAATTGTTGAGAATGGAAATATCACGCCTAAGAGATGAAAATCTTGTCCTCCAGTCCCAACTGAACAATGTGGAAAAACAAGTAACATATATTTATTTTTTCAATGTATTTTTGTTCATGTTGATTTTCTTTTTCAGTTGAAAGACATGCAAGATGAGAAGGAACAAATCAAAGAAATGTGCACTTCAAAAGAAGAAGAGGTCAATGTCTTAAAGAAGAAGGCTGAAGAGCTCACTTTGTCCGCACAGAACATCCAGACAGAAATTACTGTAAATAAACTCTCTATTTGAAATAATTTATATTTTATTTTAGTTTTATTTCACAGAAGTCTGATAGTGAACAGTTGTTGGGCGAATATGAAAAAGTCCTAACTGAACAGCTTAGCTTGGAACTGGAGTCCATGAGGCAAGAGTACCTCAGTGTACAGTCACAGCTAACGCTCGCCGAACAGGTAAGGTGACTAGTTTTTCAAATTCTCACTGTTGTAAACAATCCAATTTAATAGGAGCTGGAAAGGAAGTTCAACCAAACAACAGCTTACAGCAACATGAAAATGATGATCGCAAAGAAAAATGATCAAGTTAAAGAATTAAGGAATCAGTTACTCAAATTTCAAAAGCCAGATGAAGCTCAGAGTTAATTAGAAAATATTATATTGCTCTACATTAGATTTTGATCAACATATGTATTAAAAATTAATTTTCTATGCATAATTCATTAACATTTATTTTTTATTTTAATTGATTAAATTTTTTTTGACAGACTTTGTTAAAAAAAAAAAATAATTGATTTAGTCATCTCTAGGTAAGGATATACTCTCTTCGCTCAGTGATTTTTTAACTTTTTTTGGTCTCTTTCGAGGTACAGGAATATACTCTTTGATAACTTTCTGCACTGGATCAGTGATGCTCGGGTAAGGATATCCAAGGCCAAGTTGTGTTTGGAACAGGTCATAATGTTCTTTCAGCTGCATGATCTGTTTCATCAGTATTATCCTGACCCTTTCGTGTACCTGGTATTGCTAGAAAAGAATCGTTCAGTTGCTGAATGTACAAACACGATAGTTAAGACTCACCTGCCAGAATACAATCTCTTTTGTCTTGCTGTTGACTTTGGCAGGTCCTGAAACAAACATTTCTTTTGGAAAGCCGAGTGCACCCATGCTGCAAGTCATGATACTAAAGGGTGTATCAGTGCCACAATGCAACATCCGGAGGTGCTCATTTAAAGATCTGGCTGTAGAAGCACCATTGGTAGCATACATATTCTCACATAACTAAACAAAACAGTTAATGGATAATTAGTGATGTAACTTATTACAAAACATGCTATAAACAATAATTAATAATTATTAAAACAATGAGAACAATTGTAATTCATTCAGAAAATTGCAAGTATTTAAGTAGGACAAATGGCTGTTTAATAGTAATATTTCTATAGAAATGCATACAAACCTTTTAAAGCACATATTAATGCACTCACACAACATAAATGTGCGTAATTTGATATGTGTGTTTTTATATACATATGTGTGTAAAACGTTTTTTAAAGTACATGGTTGAATTACAATATACACAATTTGATATTTTGATATTATTATGAACATTTAATAAGATAAGATTTTGTTATTTTCTTTCACAGTGTGTAGCATCCTTCCTTCCTCTGTATTGTTTAAATTTAATATATATTATTTTACTTGAAACTTTTTTCTATCTTTGTTTATGAAGTTATCATAATTGTGTCTGAATGTATTTTTATGACTCAATACTTTTTATGAACTAGATTTTAAAATTAACATACTAATTTAAAATTAATTTTTTACCTTTGGCAATTTATCATAAAGCCATTTCATGTCGTCTACTACAGCTGCAACTAAAACAACATTTTTCAAATGGGAATCTTCATAGAAATAATTTTCTTTCAGTCTATCTTTTCTTCTTTGCTCTACCATTCGTCTTATGTGATTACGTAAAGGAACAGGATTTTTTGTTTTGGGAATGAAATAATCATCTTCTTGATAATAAGAAATGCTATTGTCGCCCATTTTATAAATTTCCTTGGGTTGTGAAGAGTCTAGTTCAGAAGAGTCAAATCTGTTTAGTGTGGCAAAAGACTCTTTATTGGCAATAAATTCAACAACACTAGGACTCTCTGCAACCACTAAGGGGGAAGGAGATTTTTCCACTTGCTCATCTAATTTGTTTAACACGTTATCCCTTCCTTTTTTTGTTGCCTCCTCTTTAGTTTTTTTGAAAAATTGCAAGTGTTCTTGGAGATTTAAGCATTGGTAACAATTAGAGTGTTCTCTTCGTCTTATGCTGTTGTAAAATTCTGCAATTTTTTCCTCTTCGCCCTCAAAAGGATTTGGTATTTTTCCTTTATTGAAAGAGGCTAGTTCATAAGATCCATTGTCTGCTTTTTTAAGATCTTCCAGATTCACTATTTCAATCATCTCTTGTTCCATGTTGACATAAGCCATATTTACGTCTACCACATTTTCTCCCAGCACAGTGATCCCAGAAAATTGTTGAGGAGGGACCTGAAAAGTATTTGTACAATAATTATTGCAGGTATTTGTATAATTTCTTAATGTATTACCTTTAAGTATTCAGAAAGCAATATAGTAACTTTTTTCTCGATATGCCGTGTGAGCCCTGTTATTTGATTCCATGGGATTTCCTTAAGAAACACAGCCATCATGTAGCAAAACAAGCTTTCATACTTTCCAACTATGACAGCTTTTGATGTAAGCTTGGCAAACTTGTCCATTCCAGCCGCCTAAATTTTGCCTTTCAATGATAAGAGAAAAAGTTGACAAACCAATAAATTACCATTGTCGAAAGAAACACAAACTGCTCATTTATTATATTTTCAATTGACATATTTATATCACTCAGTCGTGGAAAAATAAGTAAGTAATCAGCATCTTTGAGACCCTCTTCTAAACTTTTAGTTACTTTCACATCTAAAGCCAAAGTAAAACAATGAAAATTGTCATTAGACCAATCTCTTAGATCATTTCTTTGCTTTTTATTTTACTTAACTTTAATCCAAGGATAGCATGCAATAGTAAACTGAGCAGCAAGACATTCTGCTTCAACAAGATATTCTGGCCTGTCATAAAGGAAGATTTCTGCTTCCACATTTTGTCCAAACGTACGACCGTTCCCGATATCAAGTAACAAATGTGTCAGTGTATCTACTGGTACAGTAGACACAAATACTTTTACTTTGTTGATGTAGTACCTTTGAATCTGCAATATTTTTTTGTGTAATTATCCAATTATTGCAGTTTGGTCATTTCCGTTCATTTTGTTTGCTTATCCTTGCTGGTTTGGTCTGTCAGACCCAAGCCAGTGATGAACAAAATGGTAGGAAACGAGCACACTACAGATTCATCACCTCATGAACCTCAATGTGAAATCTCACGACAAAATTGGTATTTAAAACATAAATAAAGTCTAATTATTTGGTTTTGCCCCTTTTTTTAATAAGTTAATCTTTTCTTAATGAATTGAGGTGCAACATGTAGCGTTTTGACTGTACTTAATGACACTTATCACAAAAGTATTGGACAACATACTTTACTCTGAAAGTGAGGTTTTTCACGTTTCAGAACTTCATAAATCATCTTGGTAAATTGAAGAAAAGAGAATCTTTAAAATTATAAACAGTAATTCTTAAGAAATTTACAAGTTGCACTATTTTAAATCTACACAAATATTTTAGGTATACAAATCAGATGTTTTAAAAATGTAATAAGTAATTTGTTGGAGCGAATGAGTATGTTTTGAAAATATGTATTGTAATTTTAATTTTCTTTTCTAATTGTCTGCAGAGATCTGCAAAACCTTGTGCACCAACGCGTTCTACTGAAATGCTTAAAAACTTGTATACTTTTGAGCAAAAAATGTTCTTAAAAAACAAACATTGTAAAATATTTTTATAAATTAGATTTCTTGAAAATTTAATGATCCACTAAAGTGTAAAATGAATAAATAAATATTTCAAGAAAAATACAACTTGTACAGTTAAAAAATCAAAGCCACAGAACAGAGTTTATTTGATATTTGGCATTGATAATAATAAATAGTTCATAAAAACTATATTGTTTTCTTCTGATAATGTTGTTATTTCATTATGTAATTGTTATTAATTTTTTTATCTTGATACACTGTATTCCACAGTCATGCACAACCAAAAACTGATTTTGGTTGTCTTTATCTGTGGAATACAGTGAATCAAGATTCTATAAAATGAAATGGAGCCACTTCCCCACTTTATAATTCAAACTTTTTCTTTTTAATATTCCTCTAAAGTTAAACATATTGTTTACTTACTTACAGTTTAAAGTTTCTTTGAATTTTCTCAAGTTTGTTATTTTCGGTGGTCAGTGCTTTGTCAATGTGTTCTCAGCACTGGTGGTCACTTTGCAAAATCATTTGAACAAAGGATACCAGGCCACATTGAAACAAAAACCGCATCACAATTTTTTTAAATGTATAACAATGTTCAATTTTACAGTTATTTCCACTTTTTAATTATTTTTACAATGTTTTATTCATGTACAATACAAGTAATAACTTGTAAAAATGCATATGAACTCTTAACAACTTGATTTTCTTTCCTCTTCACAATTCGAATAATTTTTGTGGTCCCTTGGGTTTCCAACTATCAAGTCATATGAAAAAAAATTGAATTTTCACTTTGTTAAGTATTAAAAATAGAATATGAACATTATTAAAAAAGTTTAAATTTTTTTAATAATATAGAGCAATAAATATAGTATAAAAAGTGTAATTAAAGTAATACATGTGTATATGAGTTGAGTACATAAAATGTTACACTTCTGTTATTTTCTTCTTTGTCAGTACAGCATTACATCCAATATAAGGACACCTGAGACAAAATAAAAATTAATATACATTTAACAATAAATTATTATTTACATTAATAATTTAGAACCTGAATTTCTTGTTTGTTTTAATTTGGCAAATGATGCTATCTTTATCGTAAGTGTGCGCACAAATGGTTGATTTGACAGGGTTTTTTATTGGCTGTTTAGTCCAAGGATCAAGCATCGGTTGGGACGATACATTGCTACAGTTCATTTGCAAACCTGAAACATCAGATTATATAATTATATACTATGCCAATTACTCAATAAATTATTTTACTATAAAATAACTAATTAAAGCAAATCTACACAAGAACAAGATCTTACTCATATCTAATTTCTCTGTAGTCAGGTCATCAAAGGATTTGACGAAATCTGTTCTAATCTCGGCAGGAATGTTTTTCACTTCTTCATCAAAAATCTATCAAAGAATACAAATAAAAAATAAAAAAACAGATAAAATCAATTGCAGCCAAGCATTACCTCTTGTGCGTTAATTATGGGATCAACAGACTCTTTCATAATCTTCTTTACAGCCTCATATGCCTTCCAAGTGGCGGCTTGATTATTCATGTTTGCTTCATTTTCGCTGACTACTTCGCGAAGCATTTCAATGAGTTCATCCCGGCTGGAATCTGCAATGAACATATTTTTGTGTCACATCTTTCTTCCGGTTTTGGTTTATCCTTGAAAAGATTCATCATCTCTTTGGCAACAAATTGAATAAACACAAAAAATTACTACTCTTATTTTTTTTTTGTTCATTGTTCTTTCTTTGATGATAGATTCGGACAAATAAGTAACTCCAGTTTGTTATTATTCCTAGCCCTGAAGAGGAGAGTCAATTGGCTCCAAAATGCATCGGCATCATAAAAAAATAATTGTTGAAGAAGTACACTAGTTATTTTCGGACTCTATCATTGAAAAAAGAAAAAAGTTTCATTTGTAATAAATTCCTTATTGCAGGCAACCCAACATAAATACAAATTCAAATTAGTAGAGAAATAAATTACAATATTTTCAATGATTTCGGTCATTTTTAAATTGTTCAAACATTTTAAAACTTAAGTTGGAAACCTTTGACATTTTCAATTATTGATTCAGCTAACTCCATTGTACGCTGGTGTTGTTCCTTAAAAAGCTTTCCTATGTCGCTCCCCAACATAGCGATAGGTCACAGAATCAATTATTTTTTATTTATGTTTTTAAACGATGCTGCAACTTGATTAAAATCCAGTTTGTCCTGGATTTCTGAGAAACCTCTAAGTACCCAGGCAGCAGGTCGGGCCATTGACAAGGCGGGACTTCGGGTTTCAACACGGTTCAAGCGCAAGGCTGTTCTGCCAAGTATGAGCATACCGGCATACCTATGTACAATAGAAATATTAAATGGAAGTCACCAAAAAATTGTCTAAACAATATTTTTCTTTCATTTGAGAATAAATCTAGATATTTTTTAAGTAATAAAATTTAAAAGTTTTCTAATTTTGTTTGAAATGATCTTTCGTTTACAAGTTTGATTTTATGAAAAATCTTTTGCCTTACAATTGATTTAAGAGGAAATTAAGGCATTGTGAACAGCCGAGTTTTGCTAACAAAAATAAAATTGTCTCTCTCCGGGTAATTCGATAATCGACGAAATGCGATGTTGTGAACGACTGGTGTCAGCAACGATCCATTTGGCATTGAGAGGAGAAACCGAACCTTTCTTTGTGGCGTGTTTAAAGGTGAGTCTGTTGTGATTTTCTCTCTTTTAATATCCCGTTTCATCAAAGTTTAGGTTCGATCATCCTCAGAATTATTGATATTCTTTATATTATGGTGCATGCCGATTGTTAAATTTTCTTATTCAGGCCCGACAATTGCTGTAAATTTTCCCTGTCGGCGAGTTGGTGGTTTAGGTTATTCCACCATCCACTCAATGCCGATTTTTACCCCGTCTCTTTTAAACCCTTACAATTCCACGTATTTTTCCATCACTTTCATCCGCCAAGTTAACAGGTTTCTTTTCCAGCCCTCGTCCGACAATGGGGGCGTACAAGTACATCCAGGAATTGTACAGAAAGAAGCAATCCGATGCTTTGAGGTATCTTCTCCGTATTCGGGTATGGCAGTTCAGGCAGATGACCAAGATGCACCGGGTCCCGAGGTCTTCCAGGCCGGACAAAGCGAGACGAATGGGATACAGGAATAAGCAAGGTTTGCACACGTATTTTAATATCACATAAGCATGTCTATGCCACCCTAAGTGATTTTGGAACGCATGAATTTTTTTGCAATAAACGAACGTTAACAGATAATTTGCTGTAGAAAGTTTTAGGTGAAGTCTTGTATTTCTATCTCAATGGTATTTGCTTATAACAATCTACAAGGGATCATTATATCCGAATTTTTATTTAAAAAAAAATATATTTAAGAAAAATTGTTAGGATAAAAGAAAAAAAGCCAGTTATTACACGTATTTATAAAAAACACTGGCTTATGTATTTGTTAAGCTTAGTCCACATTAGGGTCAAAGTGGCATATCTTTGTTGGGAACTGTTTGTCTGTTTGGGGGCTGATCCACATCAATGTCACGTCTATGCTATAGCCCTAGAAAATGTCTCAGGGTGTTTCTCTGTCAACGTTATTGTTAATTAAAAATAGAAATCGAAGATGGTTGGTACGGAAATATTAATGACAGTGATAATGATCTTTTCGATGCATTAAGCTTAGAAGATGGAATGGGATTTGTCAACTTTTTAAGTATGACGCATAAAGATTTTGACTTGCAAATTGTTGTTCCAATGATATTTTAAGACAACAGGAAATTTATCAATTTAATTTCCCTTACCATGAAACTCAAACCACACTCAGGATGGCCCTGAAACGCGTCTTGCAATGTTGTATCACTGAATCCCAGAATAAACTCCAGATACAAGGAACTTGTTGCAGGGCTGAATTTTCTTTTAATCAGGAGGGTTGAGATTCAGCCCTGCAACAATTGCGCACAACTTTGAGTCCCAAGTGTGGACTAGGCGTTACACACATACATATATATTGTTATATAAACAATAATTTGAAGTAATGTGTGGTGTTTAGTGACTGTTAGTTAATGATTATTTGGAGGTCGTGAGATGCTGTCTGGTATGATGTAGATTTAGAAAAACATTTTCTTTATCGTGCCAACGTTCCAATCTTGAGGCACTCTCAACACGACACACAATAATGACACATCTACACAGAAAACTAACATTTTGAGCCCTGAAGATGATCACAATAAAGATCGAAACGTTGGTACAATAGAGAAAATCTTTTTCTAAACCTACGTCACACCAGACTGCATCTCACGATCTCCAAATAATCATTAATTAACGTTCACTAAACCCTATGCTTGCCATTCAAATATATATTAATCTGCCTGTCAAAGAGGCATCAGAAATCCACATTAAATTGAATTAATATTAATTAGCTCGATTCAATAGAAGGTTTTTGTTGATTTAGGTTATGCTATCTTCCGAATCAGGATCCGTAGAGGTGGTAGGAAGAGGCCAGTTCCTAAGGGTGCCACTTATGGCAAGCCAAAAAGTCATGGTGTCAACCAGCTGAAGCCTACCAGAAATCTCCAAGCCATGGCCGAGGTATAACACAGATTAAACTAAGTCTGTTGCAGTTGTTTTAACTTACGAATTGTACACAGGAGCGTGTTGGAAGAAAGTGTGGTGGACTTAGAGTACTTAACTCATATTGGGTTGCCCAAGATTCCACCTACAAGTACTACGAAGTGATCACCGTAGATCCAGCGCACAAGGTACTCAACATCATAACTTTTATGCCAGTATTTCAATTGTTTTATCATCTTATTCGCTTTAGGCTGTAAGGCGTGATCCCAAGGCGAACTGGATCTGCGATGCGGTTCAGAAGCATAGGGAAATGCGAGGTAAGACATCAGCTGGCAGGAAATCAAGAGGCCTCGGAAAGGGGCACAGGTACTCCCAGACAATCGGAGGTTCCAGAAGAGCTGCCTGGATCAGAAGGAACACCCTTTCGCTCAGAAGGAAACGATAGGGTGTATCAAGAATTATATATTTTTGTTTATATTCTTTGTACTACTCAATAAAGAAATTTATCGGGTAGTGTTTTATATGTCAGTGTTCCTTTCTTCAATTTTCCTTGTTTAATAGTTTACAAGTCATTAACGTTATAAACAAAATTTTAATATTAAATACAGTAGAACCTTCATTATACAGGCTAACGACAGAGATGGTGTCCACATTGTTATAATTTTTATTTGCTAAGTTCTTAAATAATGTTAGTTAATAGAAATTGTGTAAAAAAATATTTTTAATAACACTCAATTATGTATCAATTTATAATATGTAAATAGATCAAAATAATCTACATTTTTATTTAAAAAATATATTTTACTTTGTTGTGGGGAAGTGGTCAGTGGCCCGTCCTTTCTATGGAGAATAGGATTCTATTAGTTTTTCAAAAATCTCTTTTGTATCATTTACTGGGCAATTTATCATATCAACATTGATGAGATCCGGGAAAGAATAGGCAACTAGAAAAAAGAGTCAACTTTATGACTTATGACATCATTGGCAAAAAAAATCAGAACTCTTAGTGCACTTTTACATTAACCATATTTTAACGTTTTGGCCGAAGCATTGACCAAGAGGAAAACCGAGTTGGCGGGTTGTTTCTAGAGAGCAGGACATGACAGATGGTGCAGGGCTATCACTTGGTAGTTGGTGGCTATGAAACTGCCGGTGGTTTGAAGATACAAAGGTGTCAGCCGTGCCAAACACTGTTTTACTTATTTAATTTTTTTATCTTTGATTACTCTATTTTAAGTACAAATTATTGTAGTTTTTTTCCATTGGGCAGCAGCAATACGTGTTCATCCATTGCAATAATATAATACATTGCACTATTATTGACAATATAGGAAAACAATTTGTTGAAGTCATGAGAAGCGGCCTCATTCTTGCCACTCCTCATGACTTCAACAAATTATGAAACAACAGGTCTCTAAGAAACATTGGAAAACGTCGAATGGGGTTGGTTGGTTTCATATGGTGAAATTGATACGATAAATGCTAGTGAAACTGTAGTGTCATCTGTGAAAAAACTGCCATATTAAAGCTTGGTCAAAACCGTTGTTTCTCATAACCGTCAATTATCCATTGATTAACATGTTCATAGAGGTTCATCAATGAGTTGTTCAGGCAGATGACACTACCATGGTATCACTCAAAAAGTAGCTTCTAGATAAACTTGCCAATGTCAAATGAAATAGGCCCCACATGAACATATTTTATAGATATTTTCGTTGTTTTAGCTGACTGTATGATATAAACAATGAGTACTTCTCTATATCATGAACTCCATACTTAGCAGAAAATGGCCTTCAGTTTTCACCTTTTCAATAAGATTTATTGTCTTGTAAAAAAAAACTTAAGTGCACCCCAGACATAATAGGGGTTCTACTAAATGTATATGCTCTAGAAGAGAAGACTTGAACTAAATTGTTTTCTTAAAATTGCTTCTTTTCTAGATTAAATTTTTGCATAATTTTATTTTTTTAATATTTTAATGGCACACTGGTCTGAAGTATATCCATACTCATACCCAATGATGATTATCACGGTGACTAAATCTACAAACCAAATTTTGGTGACTAAATCTAATTAAAACTCAACAAGAAAGGAGTTGTCAGTTGTACTTGTAAGTTCAGCTAATTGATATCTGAGCCATTCTTCACTTGGAAGAATTGAAGTACCATCTCTTCTTAAAGATTTTATTGGAGTAATTTAATGCAAAAATTTACATTTTGGTCTGAGTAATTAATCCAAGCCTAGATTCATTTGTATGTATTTAGTAATTTATCAATACCACCTGCTAGCAAACCATATTCTTGATTCTGTGGACATGCCTATCAATAATTTACTTAGGAGTGTACATTGGTGACTCCTTTTGCAAGGTTTTTATCTACTGTGATCACAGTGGTATAATGTGAAAATAAGCTGCTTTCTGATTTACTACTGAAGGTTTCTGCAAAATCTCAGCTTATGTTGTTTTTCCATATAAGGTGGTTGTGATTCACTGTGATGTTTCACATGACAGTCTGCAAAACTACCACTTAAGATGGTAATATGTCAAAACTATCAGGCATTGGAAAACCAAGATGATTGGATTGACTGAAAAAATCTCACAGATTAATCTCTTTGTTAAAGTTTCAGTTGTTTTTATTGTGTTTTAACATTTTTCTTCTTTAAAAATTAAATGTTTCAAGTAATCCATCATGGAAACAATGATTAATAAGTGGTAGTACAACCACCTTGTTTTGGCACTGAAATGGTTCAATAAACAGGATATAAGTCTACTCCTTTATCTTCACATTGCTCAGAATATGCTGAGCAATATAAAGATATTCAAATAAATGAGAAAATAGTGATAGAAACATTCAATTATATTATGTTTGTGAAAAGAAAATGGCCATCCAAATTTTAAAAATATTAAGATTGTAAAATAGTGATTTGTAATTAATTACTAATTTTTTTATATTATTGTATTTGTAATTTTTTGTTTGTTTAAAAAATATATTTTTTCTGTAATATTTGAAATATAAAGTGACTGAAATACTAATGGAGCAAATTTGTAGGTTTGTTTTTCATTCTAAACAGATTATAAATCCTGATTCATTAGACAATTAAAATCAAAATAATTGGTAAAAAAATTGTATATTTACAAAGCAGTAATGTATACATTCAAACATCATTGATCAAAGTGCACTGCAGATCGTAACGATTGATTGACAGCTTCGTCTAAAATGTTATATATATTCATGCAACCTTGCTGTGCCATTTTCAACACTTTACCTAAATGTTCGACGTGCATCCGATGCGACATTTCGATCAGAGCAATCTGAAATAAAAGTAAATTAAACAACATTTAAACCTATTTGAAAATCTATTGAAAACCCACTTGTTCGGAATTGGGTAGCATGGCCACTGTGAGACAGGGGCCGCCAAGATTTTGCTCGAGATTGCTTATATCCACCATAGGGACATTGTCGTCACTCAATGAAGCAGTGCATGCAATAACGTACTCCTTCAGAGGGACTCCAGCATCAATAAGGGCTAAAGTGGCAGCATTAATAGCTGCACAACAATTACCACCGTCAGCTGCCAAAACCTAGAAAAACATTTATCTAAAAATAAAATTATATTTCGTAAAATTAATGCTTTAATTCCCTTTAGAGAAAATGACAGAATTTTTTATTTCTAAAGCGAATATTGGTCACAACATCTTTATTATCTTAATGAACATGTTAAAATTATAAAATGTGATATGTTGTGATTAATAAAATAGATACTGCTTTTTTTTAAATAGAATGTAAAAAATAATAAATAAAATAAAAATAAAATGGACTTCCCCATGTACTAACTAAAAATACTAAAATTAGGTAAAAGAGGAAACACACTAGTATTATACTAAAATTAAGCTGAAAATTGACATATGAAATTGTACTGATATCTCCAACAAGCCAGGCGTACCGCACCAGTATATGAGTATCTAATTCATTCAATATTTGAAGGAAGGTTTCTCTTTACAACACAACCACACCAAAATATGAAAAGCCTGTCCCATTTAACTAAGTGAAGTGAAATACGTCTTCAACAGAGCAATTGCAAAATTGCAAATTACACTTTCCTGAGTCTCTATAACGCTGACTTCACAGTGTAGCACCTCACAGCGAATTTAAAAAAACCCAGCAGAGCTTGTCAGGATTAGACCTTTATTGTTACATTTCTGTAAGTTAAAGAAACATCGTATTTAAGTTTTTTGTTAATTTTAAAATGTTCACTAGAGCGGGCATTGATTTTATTTCACAGAAAAATAAATGAATGTTATCTAAAGTCAGGGATACTTCAATATCGCACTTTAGGTAAAAATGTGTGGTGATTAGTGACCGTTATCGATATTTATTTAGAAATCGTAAGATGCAGTCTGGTGTGTAATTGTACTGATATCTCCAACAAACCAGGCGTACCGCACCAGTATATGAGTATCTAATCGTCCAATTTAGGTAAAGTTCATGCCAGTGAGCAAACCATAAAATTTTGCTGTTAATTATCTCAGCGACTGAAGTTTTCCTAGAAAGTTTTCCCTCATGGCCTTCTATTGATTTGATTGCACAATCAATTAATCATAACATATAAATGAAAAGTGGTTCTACATCAGTTTCCATATGTAAGTGCGTAATATAATGTCAGAGCAGGCAACGCAAACAGCTTTCTAATAAAATATCTTTGCATTTTTCCAATATCTCGAAAAGTTGAAAGCCCCAGGTCTGACACCCTTATCACAATATAAGCCTTACATAACGCATTAAAAATGGTAAACTTCATTTTGAAACGGATTATATTTTGTAAAATCAGGACCAGGTTTTAGCAATGGAAAGTTTTGCTTGGAAGTGTGGGAAAAATGATAAATGAAGAATTAACATAACATCCAGGTTCTTATATTAGTTACTGTCTCTACCCTCCTTGTTTTAAAAAAACATTTTTCTAAAGAACAGGTTTACCTCCTTTTTTTGAAGATCATTATTTTACACTTTTTTAGAATGACTGCGACATTCCACTTTTCACTGTATTCTTCCAGAAGATTTTTGTTTCTCGGTAGACCCATCTGTCAATATCACTATATGGTCAGTGTACTTCAAGATTTTGATTATCACGCCTTGGATATGTACACAATCTTTTAAGACAGAGGGCAGGTCATCCAAAAAGAGAGAAAATAGGTAAGTTGGGGTTAAGTTACCCTGTACAGATTGAGCCCTAAAAAATTCCGATATGCCTGTTTTGACTCCATATTCCAGAAGATGTAAAAAAAAAGGATATGAAGAAGCTTGCTAGAAAAACCCAATTTACTTAATTTAAGGAGAATCCCATTCCAGTCCAATGAACCAAATGCAGATTTTAGGTCTACAAAGAAACAGATCCTCTGTTTAGATATAATGAATTTAACATTGGAAAGTTCAAATAGGGGGACCGCGGTAGCTGAGTGGTTAGCATGAGAGATTCTCAGTTTGTCTGGGTTCAATTCCCGCCATCACCTCCATCCCTTTTTTCATGATACCCTTCCCCCCAATACGAATACGCATAATATATTGTTTGGCATTGGCTAATACACATAGTACATAGAGCCATTAAAAAAATAAAATAAATAAATTTTAACAAATTAAAAAAAAAAAAATGGTTTGAACGGCCACCATCCACCAGTGATAATGGCCTTAATTGGCCATTATGGAGTGAAGTCAATGGCAGTCCCTAGAGTGGTCAAAGTTACGAAATCAGATGGTCACGATTCCACCTTCGCTTCAGTCTTCTATGAGGTTGGAAGGAGAGGTTGTGCGGGACAGGTTGTGAATTAATGGATTGCATGAGAGGTTAGTGAAATTTATTGTAGTGAAAGTGGGCTACGTTTGGGACAAGGGGTATATTGAGAGTGGAGTGGGTAGTATGTTTGGTGACGTAGAATGGAACATCAAGTATTACACAAAGGATTTTGGATTTTAGAGATTGGATTTTGTTAAGATTGGGATGCTTTGTTGTCCTGTACAGTATAAGTTAAGCAAATTGGGGTGATTAGGGTAGTGTATAATAGTTTTTTGTGAAGAAATGTTAGTAGTCTCTTCAGCATTTTATATCTAATCTGTCTGATCTGACAGTCTTTTCATAAAGTTATCATTACCTCGACCATGACAACGATCTGTGATCTTGGCATAAGTTCTGCCTTAATAACTGAAGTGAGCGCTTGGTGTAGGTTGATGGTCATTTTGGATTTTAAGGTTGGTTTTTGTTAAGATTGGGATGCTTCGTTCCCCCGTGCCGTTCAAGTTCGTAGCTCCAAACTGGGGTGATTAGAGTAGTGTATAATAGTATTTTGTTAAACAATGTCAGTAGTCTCTTCGGCATTTTATCGTATCTGTCAGATGACAGTTTTTTCATAAAGTTATCATTACCTCGACCATGACATCTATCTGTGATCTCGGCATGAGTTCCGCCTTAATGACCGAAGTGAGAGCTTGGTGTAGGTTGATGGTCATTTCAGTGTTTTTCCTGTCCCGCGCCCGTGGCGCTTTCCGCTCCGACTTGCTGAAAGGGCTCATGCTGTAGTGGCAGTTGACGAGCGCCAAATCCGACTGAGCCTTGGACTTGTGAGCGCCGCGGACCTGCGAGCGATTCCGTTAGGCGGACGCTACTTTATTTACGATTTATTTTTAAATAAATACCTCGTTCGGGCCGAAAACGGTGGCGATGACTTTCGTGTTTCCCTGCTCAAGGTAGGCGCTTCCGTCCGCGTGGTCGTACACCCCGAGCCGGCACTTGATCAGCCTCAACTCGTCCGGCCTCCTTCCGTCTATCCTCAGCCCCTGGTCGTTAACGAGCTCCATAGCCGTAAATATCGCTAAAACCTACTATTTAACTTAATTACAGGACTCTGCCTTTATTTATTTTTAATTAATCGGTTTAAAGGCTATCGTTTGATTTGAAGGAGGTGAGATACATCACGCCTCGTGCTCGCTTTACGGTTGTTTGTTACCTTCGCACGTGGTTCTCCTTCTCAGAGGACGATAACGATATCAGTAATAACCTCAGCGAAGGTTTAAAACGTAAACAAATTTTTCAAAAAGATGTTCAATTTTCAAACGAAACGAGAATTAGTAGGTTTTAATGTAGAAAAAAGTACAAACGGATAAAGAAAAAACCACGAAATAGCCAATAACAGTGAAAAATTTATCTGACCTATACACCAACAAGTGGTAACCATGTTATATTTATATTTTACGTGTCTTATTTGACAACGCATAATTTTATACTGTTTACTGTTCATAAATAAGATTTAAATTTTATTAAAGCTCCAATCTTCGATTCTGTCGTTCCATCTGTTCAAGGCATAAAAGTTGCGATGAGATTGAGTCAAGGTGTGTTATTCTTTCACAATTGCTGAGCTGATTGAAATTATATAGTTACATTATAGACCGTTTGAAAATATAAAATCTCAAGGACAGGACTTTTTTTAAAAAGATTTTAACGGGACAAAAGTGCAATTCTTTCTCTCTTCTCACTACATCATAATGTGCAATAGAAACGAGTTGATTTTACTCGTGTGAATGTATGAATTTAGAGATCATGAGATCGTCTAGTGTGATGCATGTTTAGAAAAAACATTTTCTTTATCGTGCCAACGTTTCAATCTTTATTGAGATCATCTTCAGGGCCTGGGATTTACAACATTGTTTAAATTATACAAATACAGATAAGATGTGAAAATGAATTTATACAATGAAAGATATTTTAGGTTAATCAAAGTGTTTGTACTCACTCAAAGTTTGTGTTTTCTGTATGTCATTGTATAAATTCATTTTCACATCTTACATGAATTTTTATAATTTAAACAATGTATATAAATCCCAGACACTGAAAATGATCTCAATAAAGATCGAATCGTGGGCACAATAAAGAAATTAGTAAAAGTAGTCTTTTTCTAAACCTACATCACACCAGACTGCATCTCACAATCTCTAAATAATCATTAATTAACGGTCACTAAATACCACACATATTGAAGATAATTTTGTGGAATTTTGAGGTATATAAATTTTAGTAGTGGTGTTATTGCAATTTTCTTGCGTTCGTTTTTATAGTGCAACTTTCCTGCTTGTCAGATAGCCCTGTAAGAAACCATTGTGTAAAGTAAAAATAATTTCGAGATTAGTTCCATTGCTCCAGGAGCTGACAGGGAATGGGCAATGAGGTATAAATAAATTGATGAAAAAGACCAAGAGTTGAATTAGGGTAAAGGGCAGTTAAAACCCATTATCATACTACAGTTTCTTGAAGAACTTAACACAATATTGCATTATTCTACTTGTTGCCTAAAAGCAAAAATATGACATTTTACAGCATTTCCAGAACAAAATTGATCATTTGTCAGTTTGGCCTACAAGACAACATCATGTAAGAAAAAAGTGTTGACTTTGATTATATCATTACATACTTTTTTAAAGTAATTGATTTCTTTTTTTTAATACAGGAAATTGCGCATGGATACAATCTTATGAAAACCAATGAGTAGAAAAATAAATTTGTGAAACAATATTATTCACAATTTAAATGTAAGTTAAACGTTAAATAATCCATTTATTATTAATCATTTACATGTAATAAATACATAGTACAAACTAAATGCTCTTTTTACTGTTTTTATCTTCTTTCTAATTCTTTTATATTCTAATTCCATATTTTGAACTTTAAATTTATTTATTTAATTTTATAAGTTTTAGTCCGAAATAAAATTTGAACAACCACAATTGTAATTTTAGGTGCTGTGATATTTTAGTTATGAATGAGTTTGAGGAAGAAGCCATAGATCTGACTAATGTTGGGTGCTCAGGGGAGTACATCAATGTTATGGAAGGCTATGAAGATCCTGCACCAATTGAAGATAGTGGGACAAGCGATCCTTTTGAAAGCGAAGGGTCTCAAGATGAACGGCCAGAAAGAAAGGAAATAGTCATAGGAAACCATATCAAAGTTACTGAAAGTTGGTAAACCTATTATTTCCTCAATTGAAACATTGTTGATGGCTTCATGTTTTTTCCTCGTTTCTTTAGAAGATCCACCTTCGTATGTTTGCCAGATTTGCAATCATGAATTCAGATGGAAAAATCAAATTAGGTATCATGATTATTGCGTGACTGGAAAACGGCCCCTCAAATGTAAGCTTTGTGGAAAACGATTTGTAAAAAGATCTCACTTAGAATATCACATTAAAACGCATACAGGTAAATTTTAATAATTGGCATTTGTTCAATGTAAAACATGTTTATTTTCAGGAGAAAGACCTTTCAAATGTTCTGTATGTGGAAAAGGTTTTAAACAAAAGGATAAAGTGAAGCGGCATGAAATTATTCATACTGGTATAACACAAGCTAATGCTGGTTTTATGCTTTTAATAATGGTGGTTTTAATGCTATAAATTGCTAATCAATTTTCAGGCAGAGTGGAAAAGGATGAATTCAAATGTAAAGTTTGTGATAAAGTCTTAAGTGGGAAACAAGCTTTAGCAAACCATAAGCTTACGCATAGAAAGAAGAAATTTGTTTGTGATATTTGTAAAAAACATTTTTCAAATCCTACATACCTTAAACAACATGTTAAAAGGCATTCAAGTCAGTTTTTTCCTGTTACGTTTTGTTTTTAAATATGTTCAATTATTTTGGTATTTCCCTAGATGTTCCTTTGTTTATTTGTGAACACTGTGGTGCATCTTTTAATAAAAAATCAGATTTGAACAACCACCTTGGTGCTCATAGAGGAGAAAGGAAGTTCAAATGCGACAAATGTTTAAAGCATTTTAGAAGCAAGCAGGGTTTAGAAAGGCATATGGTCGTACATAGCGGTAGGCAAAATGTTTAATTTTATAGAATTTTAATTTTAATTTTGTTATTATAAGGCTAGAACCATAGTTTTCAGAATTGTTATATTTGCATGTTGTATCATAATTATAGTTGCATAGCCTTGATGAAGGTGATATATTCCCTGAAAAAGCTCAAATAGGTACTGAGTGTTTTTCTTTCTAATTAGATACATATAAAACTAAATGTTAAAAATGTTATTTTTCTCATACAATTTCTTCATGATTCTATTTTTTAGAGGAAGCAGATTACGAGTGTCTGTTTTGTTTGACAACATTTGGCAGGAAAGACAATATGACAAGGCATGTCAAGAATAATCATCCAACTGAAAAAGATGGTGTAGCAAAGTGTATGAGAAACAGAAAGAGTGTGGCACTTAAGAGAGGAATTGGTGAATCTGATTCTAACTCTTCTGAGAACAATTCAACAGAAATTACTGAAAAAGAATCTCAAAAAAATGAAAATCAGTGTGCCCTGGCATCCGTCATTGTACATACTAATTCTGTGATAAGGCAAAACTCTGTTGAAAGCTCTCATGAAACCCAGCAACGAGAGTCTGTCATTAAAATATGCTCTTCTTTTAAACAGTGAATTTTTTGTTTAATGTAAGATTGTTTATTATAAATGTGTCACCCTCTAAAAAGGCAAACAATGTATCTTACATTTTTTAAATCTTGTGATCTTTCCTCTTGAGATCTTCGGGATGATTAATGTTTTGCTTGGTCATTTTCAATCATTTTGGACTGCCTTTTCTCAAATGATTCCCAATCATCAATAGTGACAGCTAAAGACCAACAACAATCTGACAGAGCAAAATAACTAAGATATGACCAAGCTACAAAATTAACATTAATTTAATATACGAGTACAATGTAATAATGAAATTTATATGTTGTGCCTTCTTTTGTCAGTTGTTAAACAATTGTCTGTGTCTTGATTGTCCCTGATTCCCTGGGACATACAAGTTGTGGGAATGATCAAATGGTAGGCGATTGCCAAGTGCCATTGTTTGATTAAAACCACCAAATTTTATTAAATTATTCTGTTTGATTAATTTGAAAAATGTGTTTTTTTATTATAAAAATAAATATTGTTCAGAAAATTATTACCCTCTATTTTTTTATACACCGGATATAACTTATTAGTTCTTCCATGTTTTAAGTTGTAAGCAAATTATTCTGTCTTGATATTCCTGGTCTGCTTATCATTGCTCCTATGTCTGAAAAAAGAATTAGAAGTGTGATAAGATTAAATAAATGGTAGTTGCACTATGAATAACAAAAACTATCAATAGTAGTGAGGAGTGTTCAGGAATAGGAAGAAAAACACCTTTTACATTTTGTTGCTGACGTTCCGACCTTTATTTGGGTGATCTTTCAGGGTGTGGATAAATTAAAAATGATTGTAAAAAATACAATTTAACATTGAGCCAACTATTTCATACTCACATAAAGTTTTTTGTTTAGTCAAAACAAATAAGTCATGGTTGCCCTGAGACTCTGTTATAAGCCTTAGCGCAGGCAGGGAGGCGAAAAGGTGCTATTCTTGTGGTGTCATATTGGTTTTGTGTGAAAATGTTGTGACACGTGAATTGTATTCTGCTGTTTTTATATAAAAAAAATAAGAAAAAAGGCGTTTTCTAAACTACCCCATTCTTGATCACTCCTCACGATTTCAATTATGAAACAACAGGTCACTAAGAAAAACACATTTGTTATTTTCTTCAATTAACTTGTAAAAAACAGGAGATTTTGGAAAATGTATCATATACTACTAGGTTAATTATCATTATTTATTTTTTTAAATTTGTTTTATTTATTTATGTATTTTTTTAAGTTATCTGTATAAATTGTTTCCAAAATTATAATTCGCATGGCCAATAAAGGTTAATTTTGAAATTGCCGCTTCATGGAGATAATTATAAATCATGTTTGTGTTGTGATTTTTTATTATTAGAATAATATATTTTTTAGAGTTTTCTTAATATGATGAATGAGTAAATATTTAAATGGTATTTGAAAAAGCAAAAATTTGTATAATGCAGTGAATGTGATGTAGGTACCAAGTGAACATGACATTTGGTGCGAACAGCGAGAGATGACATTGACAGTCCAATCAATAAACTCCCATTTGGTCGTTGAAGCGAATGTTATCTCGTTTATTGGAATCGCTTGAAAAGTGGGCGAGGCGACTCCGACGATAATTTAAATTAAACGTATTATTTCAGATGGCGGAAGAGAACATTTTCCTCTTTTATCCGAACCTGATCGGTTATGTGCGAGTCTTGCTGGCCATCGTCTCTTTTTACTTCATGCCGACCAACTACCCTGTCGCGAGCGTCTGCTATGTCGTGAGCGGTTTCTTGGACGCGTTCGACGGCCACGCTGCTAGGGCGTTCGACCAGAGCACGAAATTCGGGGCGATGCTGGACCAACTGACCGACAGATGCGGGACCGCCGGCCTACTCGTCACCCTCAGCCATTTCTACCCTGATTACATGTTCCTGTTCCAGGTGTCGATCGCCATCGACATCTGGTGCCATTGGATTTTCCTCCACTCGTCCCTACTCAAAGGCAAGTCAAGCCATAAGTTCCACGACTTGAACGACAACCCCATCATGGCTTTCTATTACACAAAACCGGTCCTCTTTTTCATGTGCATGGGCAACGAGGCGTTTTACGCTTCCCTCTACTTGTTACACTTTGTCGAAGGACCTCTGTTATTCGGAATCGGCCTGTTCAGGATGGTCGCATACATTTCTCTTCCAGTTTGCGTTATCAAGACCCTCTTTTCTCTTATTCATGGCTATGTTGCTGCAATAAACATTGCCAGTGTAGACAGGGTTGAGAGGTTGGCAATGAAGAAACAAAGCTAAACCAATGATTTTTTTATTAGTGTAAAAATCAAACTTGTTACCAAAAACCAAAGAATTAGTTGACCCGGATGTCTTGCAATAGTGCAAACATCCAATTCCATGCCCTTTGAGTATTTTATACCTTATTAGAACTATTTTTAGAGATTTAATTGTGTCTAAACACTGTGGATGTTAAGCACTGAATGTGCCAAATTTTACATTAGTGTCTTATAAATAATCATTGTCTGCTTTATAAATGAGCATAATTTATTGTACTATGTAATATTTATCTCTTCATATTTGTTGTTACCTTATAATTTATAAATTGAGTAAATTAATCCAATTGAAAATTGTAAAGATGTTTCCAAAAATAAAGATATTTAATAGTTTTGTTCAAATAAAACTCAGTTTTCATTAAACACCTCAATTCAACTGAACTAATTATGCGTTCGTCTGATTTGAAAGCAAGGTCAAAAAATAATGTTAATATTTATTTCAATTAATTATTCTTTTTAACTAATATCTTGATTGAGATGAAAAAGTTAGAGTGATGAGCGGGATTTGAACCCATGACCTTTGGCTATCGCTCCTCTAATCACTTTGCTATCATCACTTTGATCAACTTGGACACAACTCCACCAAACCACTCTGTTTGAATCCTGCTTGTGAATTAACTTTTTCATCTCAATCAAGAACTTATATAAAAATAATTATTAATTGAAATAATAAAGGCCGCTAAACATATAAGGGTTAATATTTATGCTGCTTATTAGATTATTAAAGACTATAAATACTATTGTATTATAAATTTCTCTGGAGAAGAAAATTTTCAGGGAAAACTAGTGTGAAAAAGTAATTCATTCATATTTTTTTTAACCTGATTTTAAATTAAATAAACCTCTTTCGGGCGTATGCATCTTTTGGTGCAGGTCACCCATGTCCAACTTACAGACCTTAGGACAATTTTGAGTACCGTCATCCTAGCCAGGGTTCGTCGCATTCAGGTATTTTGCCCAACAGCGGACAAATGTTAAAAAGCTGCACTCTATGTCCATATGAGACTCTCATCAGAGAGTGAGGACCTGAGTGCTGTTGGGGAGAGGGCGATGAACATTGTCAGGAGCTGATTGATCCCAGGTTCCCTGAGCATCTTAGTACACTTGTAACACACTTGGGTATGCATCCTCTTGCCCTCACGACTACACCCACTATTTTAAATATTTTTTTTTGTGTAGCTCCATGAGGTTCAGTCAGAGAAATTGGAATAAAGCAAGGCGTGCATCAGGGGTGCATTCTTTCTCCAATGCTGTTAAATATATATTTGGAGGCCATCATTAACAAAGCATTAGACGATGAGACAATTTGAGTAGTCATTATTGGAGTCCCTTTAAATATGCAGATGATACTGTTCTTTTTACAAAAAATGTCCATGACCTGCAGAGAATAGTCTAGAAGGTATTTAATAAATTTTATTTTAATGGTCTTTAAATGAATCTGACCAAAACAAATTTGCCTGTTTTCACCAAGGTACCTAAATTGAATGCACAACTGGCGATTTCTGATGTGGTCATTGAAAGAGTGTACAGGTAACACAGTAACAGGTCCGGAAACCTGGATAAATTACAATAATGACTCAGCGGGGCTGAAATACCAAGCTGTCGGATGCCTCTTTAAATAAAAAGAAGAAGAAAAAAAGACTTAACATCCAGAAATAAAAGCTCATACTGAAATCCTTTGTAGCAGAAATATAAACAATCAACATAAAGTCTGTGTGTTAAGATACTATGTATTCTCTGTCCTTCTTTAGGTATTGAAGCTGCCACACTTACTAAAGTTATGCAGAAAAGGATAGAGGCCTATGAGATTTGGCTCATTGAGACACAAGGGCTCATAGGATATCTTACATATATAAAGTCACCTCATAAGAGGGTGTGCAGCGATTTTTAAAGCAGACAGAATTAATTAATGAAATTAAAATCCAGAAACACACTAAAAAAGTACTCGGGTCATGTAATGAGAAGAGTGAGAGGTATGAAATTCTAAGTGTAATAATGCAAGAGAAAATAGAAGGAAAGCGTAGCATAGGAAGGAGAAGAATCTCTTTTCTCTAAAATTTGAGGGAGTAATTTAACTACTCATCCATTCAATTGTGTAGGCCAGCTGTACAGAGTTAAAATTGTCATGATAATCTCCAACCTTCGGGAGACGTAGGCACTCTAAGAAGTCAATTCTGTAAAGATGTTTGAATAACCCAAAACATTTTTTAAACTAAAATTGCACTAGAAAAGAAAAAATTGTATTCATAACACAACAGGTGCAAAATTTATAGATTAATTTGCACTGTTGGTTTTACAATAGCTCTTAAGGCATGGTAATATGAATCATTACGGAAATTACAGCATCATGAATAAAAAGTTGCTGATTTATCTCCAAAATTAAGATCCAAACTCAGATGATTCAATTTGATATCACTGAAGTGAACTAAAGTTTGATTCCAATAAACTATTAAAAATAAACCATTGATAGTGTTCAAGGTATTCTAATACTTAGTTGTTTTTAATTATTTTGAATGTAACATATGATAGTTTTGCCAAATTCAGTTGCCAAAATTGACATAAAATCAAAGTTTTTAAAAATAGTATCCAAACACTGTGAAGAGTAATATGTTTCTGTAGATTGTTATCCATTTCTTTGATCTGACTTTGACCGACATGGATGCTAATGTCATATGTGATTCAAATTTTGTCAATCTTGTGCGGTGAGAGGCGTGACTGCAACTTTGGACAATCCTGCTTAAAACATCATATTGTAATTACTGTAAGAGAGACGGATCCAGAAAGGCATCGATGGGTACAAAAGTGTATGCCAACGAGAAATTTAAGTCGCATAGCCACTCGCATAAAAAATTCTACACATATACACATGACGAGAGGCGAATTGACCAACAGTTCTACAACTCAAAATCGTATCCTGCTCACCTTAAAGATGAATGCTTTCAGTTGAGTCAAACTATCTCTACCTTGGGTAAACATGCTCGGTATTTAAAATCGTTGAAAAACAATATGCGCTCTTGCACTAAAACTTGCAATTCTGCACACAATAATTTCTTTAAAACAATTTCAGAAAATATACGCAACAATCATGATGTCATATCCCAGTTTGTCCAAAAGCTAACGACGATTTGGCAGGATTATAGCATTATGAAGGACCAACAATCTACCCTGAAACAAATGAAATCTTTGGTTAACATTTTTGGTTACGAAAATGACTTTAACAAATCTGTTTTTGTAAAAAATAAAAAGTCTCTCATGCCAAGAAAATTCAGCACTGATAAAAAAATTAAACAGAAACAAAAGCAACACGCTTCATCTTCAAATTGCCCTTCTGAAAAGTATTGGATTAAAAATAAATCCTCAAAGAAGGAAGACCACTCTAAGCTAAAAAAGACACTTAAAAAAAGGGTGGATAACATCGTTCATAACTGTTATGAGCTTACCAAAGAATGTGCCAACGAAAATCTTAATGAAGCAGGCAAGACAAAGTTGATAAGTAACCATAACAAAAAAACAAATAATGGCTCAAAAATTGAGAAGTACAATATAAGTAAAATGAAAGGAGGAGACTTTAAAAGAATAGACCCTCGTTACTCTGAACAAGAGACTCTTTCTTGTTCTATGCTTGATAACCATTTACAAGGAAAAACACAGACCCAAGCATCTAATCTTGACAACCAGATGAAAATATCCAAATGGTTAATAAAATCGAGCAGTGCACCATCTGGTTCCACATATCAATTTAATCCTAGAAAATACCCAAATTTGGGGAAAGTTACTGACAGGAACAACTACCCGGCAAAGCACCAAAAGTTGAAGCCCTTTGTAGAAAACCGATTAAGCCAAATAGAAGTTGGCAAAAAAGAAGTAAACATTTTGAATAATGAATATGACTCTAATGATGATATCTCTACCTCGGCCAGCTCGCATACAGTATCTAGCAAGTATCTAAGCCTTATTAGATCTTACATAGGCACACATTCTGTAAAAAAAAATCTGGCAAATTTAACTACAGATCTTTCATCTCACGTAGAAGACCCATACCAAAAATCTGCAAATCCCCACTGCAATGAAAATGCTTCAAACGATTCATACCCACATTCCCAGTCCAACAACAAAGGAGGAGGAGACAGTATCAAAACGTGGCAAAGCACGTCTAAAAACTCCTTTCCGAGTGAAACAAAATGTAAAAAGAAAAAAATTGGTAGGTATGCCAAAGTCAATCCAGACATGATGAACTATTTGAAAATCGGTGACAAAAATGAAAAGTATCGTAAACACGATAAGAAAAAAAATTCATCCAGAAAGAAAAGAACATCACGAGGAAAGCATAACAACAAGGTGAAAACGTTGAAAATAAAAAACGATAAAATTTTCAACTCGAAGATTGGACCGACAGAGATGTTGAATCCGTACCATTCGTCTGATGAGGAACGTCGACCAATTTTCCGCTGTTGCTTTAAATAAAACAAAAGTTAATAAAGCTGATATGGAAGAATGCCCATATAAAACCTATCAATATAAAAGGGATAATTAGGGCAAGTTTACAGCAATATGAACATCAAAGATGACAGGCAAAGATAACCTGTAGATTATAATATTTAAATTGCAAGAAGGAATAATTGATTTGACCATTGGAAAATGTAGTAGGCACACGAGAGTTGCAGAAATTGACATCGCACAACTCTGACTGACAATTTTAGAATTTTAAAAAAATTACGCAAAGTGCCACAACCAATTGCATACACTATACTTACAGATTTTCCAATATAAAATATGTGCTTAAAAACCAAAATAGATCTATCTGGCCCTTTCAAGATATTTATCTAAAGAAAAAGGCATGTCGTGAACACATAATAATAACTTAACACAACTGTTGTTGTATTATTTATTTACTTTTAAAATGCAGAACATCACTAAAGGCAACGAAAGTGCAGCAGCTGATATGGACCAAAATTTAGCAAATATATTTGATGAACAAAGTGATTTTAGGGATGTTTTAGTAAACCAAGAAAAAAATGTCTTTTAGAAATAATTAGCGATATATTAAATTTTTGTCGTAATAATAATAATAAGATAGTTGAATAATGTCTACTTACGAGAGTTTAAACTTTATAGTTTGTATTTCATTATTATTAATAATTACTGTAAATTCTGCAGTAATTGTGTACTTATATTCTATGTTCACAGTTGTACACTTTTCTGAGATGCATACGCTATATTTGCAATATGCTTTTAAAGATTTTATTGGGAACTTTATCAGTTAAAAATTTCTGTTTATACACTTATTCGAGCAAATACATATTTAAGGTTGAAAATACACAAACAGCATGTATTATTTCATTGAATTTTTTAGACAAAACACCGTGGACAAGCAGAATCGTAATAAAATTTAGAAGTTAATCTTTCTGTTTTGACTCTGTTAATAGTTCTAATTGATTTTGAGACTCAGAAAAAATCTTTAGGGTCTACAAAGACTTTGACAATAAATACATGATGTTACCCTTGAAACAGTAGGCCAGATTAAAAATTGTGCATCTTCCTTGCTATTAATTTTAAATAAATAGTCAAACAAAAAGCCTTAACATGATTAAGGGTTGAATAAAATCAAAGAGACAAGAGTTAAAGAATGGTAAATTGACTGTACACTTTTTTCATTATATAATTAATTCTGTATTTTGTAAAAATTCCATTTTCTACCCTATTGTATTATTTGTGTTGTATATACAGTAATAAATTAAATTTAAAATTATATAATATAGTTAAACTATTAATTTATTTATGTTGTACACTTTTTTTCTACTTTTCTGTGCGGGGTAGAAATATTAATAACAATATTAATTACGACAGTAAAGCACCTTTAAATTTTTTAAGTTTTTGAAACAAATATTAAAACAATGCATCTCCGTATTGTTGGAGAGCTTAATCTTTTTTTGGTTAAAAGTTTTGGTAAAAGTTTTTTTGGTTAATATATTCATAACCATTCCATTACATAGATAATAATAATAATTGTTGCTTGTTGGGTTACGTTTCGTGGTTTTTTGTTGCTTTACTAGATTTCATAGAATCGGCGAGATATGAGAAATCCAGTGATGAAAGAAAGAAGTTGAGATAAACATAGCTACTACTTTAACCGGTGGGTATAAGTGGATAAATATTTATTCTATGAGCACGCCAAACATTGATTATTTTCTATTTATCGAGGATCGATGAAAGCGAACTACAAAGATTGGGCGTGTTGTTCGTCCGTTGCATAATTCTTGAGTGCACGGAAGCACGATGACAGCTCTGCAACATAAACGCCTCCCTTGTTACACAAGTTCGCATCGCGTTATAAATTATGGATAATCGCTACTATCGTCAACAAATTGAGACTGTTACTGATCAACGGAGTTTGTTTCTTAAACAAAACGTGCAATTGTGAGACTTCTTGTTGAGCACTGGGAGTGATGAAAGTACTGGTCCTCATATTCTTGTTGCTTCGTTCTGACAGGCATACTGGCAATGAAGAAACCGAAATGCGTCATAAAGATCAAGGATATTCAGATTAGAATGATTCAAAACGAACCAAATTATAAAACAT